TTTTTTGTAATCTCTCTAGTTTAGAGATTTCCGAGAATATGTAGAATGTCATTGTTTATAAAAAATAAGTTAATAAATTACAATTTTACGTAGTTTTTTTGTAAATTGATCGGTGTACGAATACTTTCTACACCCACTGTATAAGATTCATGTTATTGTGGCGTCTATCGTCGATAAAGTTCGACGGAACTCGAGCGCGCGGTCTTCTCGCTCGGCGAAGGGGGTGGCAGGGGGTTGAGGAAACGGGGAAGCTGGAAGCATCGAAGGGGTGCCGAGCGGCTCCGATTCCCGTCCGAAGGTGCACGGTAACGTTTGACGAGTGGTTACGAGAACGTCCGAACTCGGGCCGAGTGGATAGATGACGCTCTAGAACGGGACGACATGTCCGCGGGGTTCGATCTCCGCGAAACAGACACCGGAACTTAACTACAGGCATTGTCGTCAGTCGGTTCGCATCATCACCTGGTCACGCTCACCGCCGACTACAGCCAGTGTCAATAACAAGTGTTGTGACAACTAGTTTGAAAAAAGAAGCAGACAAATTGCGCGCGCGATCTGTCTTTCATCCCCTCCCCTCCTCGCTCACTCCCTTCCTTGCCCTTCCTCCCGCCCTGTTCCGCTCGCTCGCACACAGGTACACACCTTCCCTCTCTCTCGCTCGCCAATGCTCTATTTCGAATCCCCATTTGTTTTTCCATAAGCTGCGGGCGCGCAACACGCGAGTGTAGACCTCAGTCTTCTGTGTGCCCTTTCCTTCGCTATACTTTGATTTCGTTGTTCGATGTGTCCCGCCAGTGTTTGTAAATAACGATGGTGTAATTGATGTGCGCGAGCCGCGTTACCGAAAGGAGGTTCTAGCCGTATCCCGAATGCAACGCGAGTGTACCCGTGCACACACAGAACCGTGGCGCACACGGATCTATGAGAAGGAATCGCTGTAGAGGGGTGTGGTACGCGATAGAGCAGCACCCGACCAGTTTCAATCGTTTTCTCGTCTCCCTTTCCTGTCTGCTAGCCTCTTTCCTCGTGGATCTATCCTCCCTACCGCGCGTGTCGTGTCTCTGTCCTCGTCTCATCGGCGGTGCCCGTCTCCGTGGAAAATATGATTGGCATAGAAGCATCAGCGGCGTCGTCGTCGTCGTCGCGGTTGGTGCCGGTGGTGGTACTGGTCGTGGTGCTGGTGCTGCTGCCAATGGTGTAGCGCGGGTGTGCGCGCGCGGTGCTGTCTCGGCAGCATACAGTGCAGACGGCGGCTTTAGACTTGGCGGAAGAAGGGCCGTGAGCTCGGCCGTGCTCCGATGGCCTGATATACACTACGGGACGCGTATATGAAGCTACACTGCCGTGACCCGTCGAGTGAGTAGTAGTTACCGCATATCGAATACGGCCTTCGAATAAAACTAGGATCGATCTACGACGAAAATTCTGTCTTCCTCCCGCGGACCGTTCCGCTGCTCTCTACGCATTCCGTCGCGTAAAACGTTCGTCGCCGTTGATACGTCCTTGCCCGTGAGAATTCCGCGAATTTCGATGCGTGTTCCGTGTCAAGGATAGGCTCCTTACCCGACTCGTCGGTTCTCTGTTTCGCAACCCCTGCTACAATCGAAATCGTTGATCGATCATCGAAACGATTAAACCACGAAAACAATACCGAGAGAGGTGAAAGTGATTTTTCACGGGTTCCTACGGTTTTCTATGCGAGGGTGTACGGTTTCGTGGGAGATAGAGAGAGAGTCGCATCACGGGAAACCGCAACGAGTATCGACCATGTATTCCGACAACGAAAGCTTGAAGAGTGCGAACCGGGTCACGTCGCAATTCCAAAGAGGTTTTTCAAAATTTTGACCACGCGAATCCTGCCCAGTGCCATGGGCGTAACGTTTCCTTGTCGTTGGCTCTCGAAGTCTTCGCACGGATCGAACTGACACTGAATTTTTATTCGCTTCGGGTATCGATATACCGTACGATTGTTCGACGATCCATCTGTCAACTCTGCTGGTGGGACAGTAGGAACGTTTCGCAATGAATCGTCGTCGTTTTTCGCTAATACGTTCGCGATTGTTCGAGGTAATTTATCGTTATTCTTGGAATACATTTGGCATCGATATTGCTATAGTAACGTTCAACGAAAGTCGAATGAAACGAATGCACTTCCCTGTTATCGAGCTCTGCAACCTTCCGCAACTCTTCGCCGTTATCCGTTGTTTACAAAGTTCTTCGATCGAATAATACACGATACAGTGGACATGGATTAAACTGACCATAAGTGTCAGCTTGCGCGAAAGTGAAAGCGACGATCACGGAACGTTAATAATATTATCGATTCTAAACATTTTTTTAAACGTTCAGTACACTTTCATTGGTTCTATTTAACCTTTTACGAGGCCATCTATGGCGTGACGAAACTATTTTCTTCTAGAATTCTCGTGTCACCTTTGACATGAAATTCGACACGATTTACCTCTCGAGAGATATTGTCACGTATGTATACGTTTCCTTTTGTAGCAAAATTACCGTTGTTTATGATCGTAATAGTTTACTACTTGTTTTGGAAACTCCAAACTGTAAAATGCGTCTCTCGAGAGGTCGAACAAATTATTGGAACACGGTTTCGTTAAGATAATATCGGGTTTTAAGAAAAAAAAATCTCCTTTTTCAAAGTCGATTAATAAAATACAGTCGCAACTCTAAATAATCTGAAATGTTAGGAGAGATTCATTTTACGCGTAATTCAATTGTTATTACTGCAGGATTTATTCTCTGCACCTTTGGCACTGTAATATTGTGAAACCTGCGACAAGGATCTGTTTCGATACGTGTGAGATCGTTTCAAAAATTAGCATACTCTAGAAAAATATAAATAACAATGAACCCGTGTTATCACGAACTGAAAATATTTTGATCTTACGTAAAACTCGAGTTTTCGCTGATCATTCTTTTTTTTCGACGGACGTCTCCGCGTTTGTTTATTTTAACTTCGTTTCAAACCTAACTGCAAAAATATATCATGGCCTACTTAGGTACCTACATCGCGATTGCGATATATCGAGCATCCGCCAAGCCGTCACAGACTTTCCGGAACGATGGGAACCAGAAAACCATCCAAAGAAATTCTCCAAGCATATTTTCGTAAATTGTATCGAAGGAGATGATGTATTCGTATTTATATTCGTGTTAACAAGGTTACAACAGGGAATGATTCATAACTTCCGAAGTTGTGGACGAAGGGAAGGGGCGAAACCTCGAAAAGGTACAACACTAAGCCACGACCTTTCGAACGGTGCCTAATTTGTTTACTACTCTAGGGCGCATGCTGAGGCCAATATGGCAGCTACATAATTTTTTTTATCTTTTTCTGTTTTTAAATATGCTCGTCCCTTTATCCTTCCTCATTTTTTAAAAATGCTACGTAATACTGCTACATCATGTTTGAAAAATGACATTGTTTATTATGATATCGTGGATCTTTTTCTTTTATATCGGCTCGTAAACATTAGTTTGAATTATGCAATAGAATATTCCGCGGTAAACAAATAGAAATTCGACTGTTCGGTGAAATAATCGTCGCGAATAATTTTGTTTCGTTACCTTTATTCGTCGTCTATTATTGGAATACAGTTTTGCCTATCACTGCTAGCAAAGATTGAACAAAAGCAATCTTCTTTGGATTTCCTTCGACATTATCGGTGAAACATCGTTACTTCCTTTTTTCTTTGACCTTATCTTTCGCCAATGTTTCTGTTTCCGTCCTTTTTCCTTTTTTGTTCCTCCCCATAAAATAATACAGCGAATTTCCGCCGGCTTCCATCTTCATTTGTTTCCAATCCAGATCCTCCTTTTGGAAAAGGTTTCTCTGCTTCTGGAGAAAACTGAATTCCACCGTGACAAGTTTGCATTACCCAGCTATACTTGCAAAAGGGTGTTGCTATACACAACCATCGCCGCGATTCAACGTACGACTTATCGTACGATAAATCGTTAGGTCTATGGCCTCTATCAGATACGCAGAAGTCGTTGTGCATGCAACAAGCGAAAATAGAAAAAAAACTTATCCTGAAGTTATGGAAATAGCTCGTGCACTCGTAACGGAACTATAAAAAATAGGAAAGAAGAAGCAAAATATTCGTTTTCGATAAAATTTTGAATGATACCGTAATAGATCTCGCGTAGCCTCGATAAGAAAATGGAAAAGAGATCGATTAACGTTAGCGTAAGATATCCGCTAACTTGCCGAATACACTTTCCTTAATGACACAGTATACTTTAATCTGGCGTAGATACGAATTCCTCTTTCGCATCGACCGAGTTTTAAAATATTAGAAGCTACAAAATACTTTGCGCGTTATGTTTAGTTTAAATTAGAGCCGTGATTCGTTTTTTTTTTTTTTTTAAACAACGAGAATAAAATTGAAGATAGAAGATACGCGGGAGTTTAGATTTCATTTTGGGTCATATCTACGTATGTGACCTATTGGTTAGGTCTATAGACTCGATGAGAATCGCGGTGTTGAATAAGTGAATCAGTAGGACATGAGCGATAAGTGGTTATTATTATTCACGTTTCTTGGAACGTATAACTTGGGGAAACGGTATGGAGCGGCGATGGAGCAGGCCCCAAATATAATAACAGTTAGGTGTAGAAATTAATTCCGTACCTTTTCGTTCGGTCATTTGTAACTTTACCTTAAAAATATTGGGTTGATTCGTAAATAACTCTCGCAGCAGATAAGAAATGATCACGCATTTGGGGCACCTCCTGCAAGTAGCAGTTCTTAATTTGCTAGCTAAATGGGACCAAGTGATAATCAACTATAGAGGTCGTGTGATTTATTAAAATTTATTACGTAATAATTAGACTGCAGATATTTATGCAAATACATGTTTTCGCAAATACAGAAAATAAATTGAAACTTATGTGACAGTATGTTTTGGTTTTGAAACGGTATAACGTGTATATTATTCTTGATATTTTATATATTTTTGCATTTTTGCATTTTTGCATACTCTCGTTGATTTCCCCATATATTCGTTTACCATAGATGCGTAAATATCCGCAGCCTAGTATTAATATATTTGGAAATAAATTGCAAGTTGAAAATCGGAAGTTATTTACGAACCCAGTAGAAATACTTACCCCCAAGCTTTATATTTTTCTGACCTAGGACGCAACTAAATACTTGCTTTGTTAGATTGCGATGGCAGAAAGAGAACAGTGGCTTTCGAAAGAATTAAGGAACCCGGGGAATACCACCTTCTGGCTCTCACCGTTCAATACCTGTCTTTCGGTGACCCTATACTAGTTCACTCGAAGTTTAGATTGTAATGCGATACTGTAAAAGAGACCTCGGAGCACTTAAAGTAACAAAATGCTGCTGCAACGATGGGTGCCGGGGTGTTTACGTTGGTATTTGCTCGTCGCACCAAAGCTGATTACTTTTTAATTATTTTTGTAATCATCGCTATTGTCGGATAATCATAAAATGGATTTGTAATTTGTGCCTGTTAATTAACAATTTGCGAGATTAAATTATTCCGTTACTACGAGGTCCTCCAGCGAAGATGTAATCGATGTTAATTATCGATGCAGATTGATTAAATATATCATTGATTGGTTCGATTTGATTCTGAAACAAACTGTGTTGCGCTTGCCGCGCTTCGGACACGTTTATTCGTAAGCAATACGTGAAACAGAAAGTATTAATGAACGTTACAAACCTACCAGATCGTTCTCAAACTTTTACAGTTCTTATATATAATATATGAATTACACAGAATTGCTTCATGTATCGGTAACACGCGACGGTAACAGCTCGGTAACACGTGAAATATTTGTCCTCTCTATTGAAAAATGTGTCTTTAAGATTAGTCATTTACAAATAGATATACATGAGATATCAGTAGGTTTAACGTCGCCAGAAAGTATCAATTAGGTGACTCAAAGCCTATCGACCGACGATACGTTAGCAATCTGATGCAAACTGCAGCTGTTGCTTCACTGGGGATACAGAGGGATGGACGAAGTCCAGGAGTTCTCGCGATGTCTCTTACTCTATGTCGTTATCTTCCTTGACATGACGATAGGATTCCACGAGGCTGATAATTCAGAATCCCTCGGTTATTCCACAGGATGTCCGCGTCCAAAGTTGCATGGATTCCTTGATAAGTCACACGATGGATCGTCAATAGTAGTCCTATGGAAGTTCTAGAGCCGTGACGTTTCGGATCAGAGACATAGAGACAGTAGATTATTCCAAATCTTTCGTTTATTAACTATATTTATTAACTTCCCGATGTATAGGGAAGTTATTGTATTTGCCCCTAAAATGAAAAATCGATTTTTTAGCAGATCTCTATGTTTCAAGGTCATTGGAGTAATTTTAGCCTGTTTTTAACAAATTGTTCGTGTGCGTACGTGCGCGTGCGTGCGTATATAAACAAATTTTTCGTTAACGTTACTAAAAAACTAATAGCGAGATCAAAATAATCGATGATGCAATCGATGTGTATCTATCTAACTTAGAGCTGATTACATTTTGTTTTAATTCGGTCCAGTAGTTTTTTAGTTTTTTTTTTTTTTTTATCCCTTTCCGTGCCATTTAGCTCGTCGAAACTCGGGCCCTAGCGGTAAGCATCGACGCGCGCTAAACAGACCAGACTGATGCTTGTAAACAATCGCAATACCCAAGTATCTCGTCGCGAGTCTGACTCGCGATATTCATGTTTGGGTCAAAATCTTCATCGCGAGTCTGACTCGCTAATATACGGGAAGGGGTTAAGAAAACTTAACTCAATAACGCAATCTAGATCGGAGAATATAAATTTATGAGTGAATAACTAAACGGAAATAATATATATATTACTATTATTACATTTGTATGCATATGTATACCATATACTATAGTATATGTATACATGCAGGGTGCTCCAAAAGTATGGAAACAGTCAAATATTTCCAAAATGGAACATTTGTGAGAAAAATGATTTAGAGAAATGTTTTAGGGTTTCAAAAATTCTATTGAATGATCGTGCCCGTTTGACCTTCAAAGGACCGGTCAAAGTCACGTCAAGGTCAACATGATTTTTTTTTAACGGAACACCTCACTTTTTATCATGCACTATGAAAGCTGGCTATGAGACCTTTTCAAAACACTAATTTCAAACATTTTTTTTATTCGTGATAGATGGCGTTGTAATCGGAAATCGGGAAGTTTCTCGTGTGGCCCGTAAAGGGTCGCACACAAAATAAACATGAATAGCTATATAAATTAAGCGAGCAAGAACAACCCTACTCGGAAAGCGAGCGAGCAACAATAACCAGCTAGTTTTATTTCATTTTATTAACTACATTTTTTTTTTATAAACACAGTAATTTTTTCAGTGTTGTATATCTTATAAACTATAAACCGTCTCCCTCCAAAACTATATATCATTAGCTTTAGTTCTTTGTTATGTACCATTAACAATAAGCAAAACCTTATTAGAAAGTCAGGATCACGCTTGGGGACCTCTTGTTAGTTCGATCTAACTAGGTAAAATCGGAACACTACTCCATCTATATCTCTATGATCAGAGAGAGATAATTTAATCCGTCGATAAGATAGAACAATTACCGCTTGTTAACCCCGTCGATAAGGATGCTCGACGAGTCTGAATTCGTCCCTGGAGGAATACGAGATCTGTAGCGGAAAAAAACAATTGTTTGATGTTTCAGTGTGCGTGCGGGGGTGACTGGAGTGATGGGATGGGGCCAGAGCCCCATGGAGTTCGGGTAGACCCGTCTCCGGCCCAGCTCCCCAGCCCCCTCCGCCATCGATATCGCCACAGCTCCTGCCAGCGTCGCAGAGGGTCGCCTCGATCGCGATGGAGGCCTCTAGCAATCAACAACAGAAGGAGAAGGAGCCACGTGTCCACAGGCCTTGCGCCTTCGATAAGGTATGCGCATCTTGAGGTCCCCCTTTGAGCCTCAGACTAAGTGTCCACTCGAGAATTTTATCCTCGAGTGCCCCTATCGAGAACAAGAGCACTTTCACACGAGCAACCAGGGTTGCCTATGCACAGGCTGTAGCGATCGTGTACAGCGATGACAGTCTCGAGATTGGATCGCTTTGAATCTGTAACGTCGGATTCGCAGTCGCTTTCGACACTCGCTTGTTAGAAATTCTTGAACATCTCGATGGGTCTCAGAGTTTTAATGGATTTTAGATGTCTCGAATAGTCTCGATAAGTCTTGAAACTTTTAACGAGTCCCGACTGTTTGATAGCACGAATACTTTGCGAGCTGACATCGGATACCAAAGGAAAGCTTGTTAGACCTTTCGCGTTTCATCCTCAGATCGATGTCAGAACCGACGAGAGTAATTGGTAAATCGGTACCGTTTCTGATAAACAATAGGATCTACTCGCACTCGACGATATTGCTCGAGGTGTCGTGGGCGGTTCCGAAGAACGATGGTGTTAATTATTTCGTGGGGTATTTCTCGACGATTCTGGGTCGCGCTCCCAAAGGTCTTTGTTTTAATTTGAATTCCTTTATATTCTAATAGAATTAACGGACGGTGGCGCTTACAATTTATAGGTGGTTTATTATGCCGTTCTTCGTCATTATACATTACTGGCAACGGTTCGATTTGTGGTCGATACGTGATGCTAATTGTCGAAGTAAATCTTAATGGCGGAAGTTACAGGGATGTAACACTGTCGCAATTACTGGATTACTTATGTTTAGGAAGATAGAAAAGACATGTTTTGCGTATAAATGGATTTTTCTCTAATTCCTCCGGCTTTTTATGGAACCGGTGCCATTCGTACCAAAGTGTCCGAGACTCATTAAAAGTTTCACGTTCCATCAAGGCTTTCAAAACTCATCAGGACTTTCAAGAACAATCAAGACTTTCAAGACCAATCTAGATTTCAAGATCGACCAAGGCGTTCAAGACTTTCAAGACCCATCAAGACTTTCATGCCCTATCAAGATTTCCACTGGTATCGAATAATGCTGAAAGCGATTAGAAATTCTATAAGGTTTCGAATCTCTGTCATTATTTACACTTGTTAAACGTTAAAAGAATAACAGACTGCGGCTTAGGGTGCCTCACCTCAACTGGACTGTGTTCGGTTAGGCTTTTAGCACGAGTCTAGACAAGCCTTTAATCATTGCATGGATCTCAGCACGCGACCAACACGATTGCAACTTCCGCTTTGCAATTTTCAGCACCTTACTACTCTACCCATTGGTGATATTATTCGACCTTTTTTTTTTTAATATTGTAAAAATGCATATTTGCCTTTTTAAAGCTATAAGGGCGTCGTAAAAGACGACATTCCTAACGCGGACGACAGAGAGTGATGAAGGGAAGAATGCAAGCAAATGCAAAGTAACGTAAAGCAGGAATTAAATGAATGTAAAGAACGAACAATTGTAAGACTACATTAGACGTTATAGTCCAGTTGTACAGTGGGTGTAGAATGTATTCGTACACCGATCAATTTCCCAAAAAGCTTTTGTGTGAAATTGTAGTTGTTTAACTTCTTTTTTTATAATCAATGATATTTTACATATTCTCGGAAGTCTCTAAGATAGATATAGTCCAAACAACATTTACTAGTTAATATGATTTGTGAAATTAACAAAAAAATGCGAAAAGTGGGTAAAGGTATAGAAGAAATAAGTATTAGAGTAGGTAGAGTTTGTAACGTAAACACGTTAGTTTATTGCTCCGTGCGAATTAGAAAACATCAAATTTCCAGTAAAGTACTTTTAAAAATGGCTCTAATAGAGAAATTGAAGAAGATCCCACTTCGAATAACTAATAATTTAGTTAATTTAATGCTTAGAAGAGTTGCAATAATTATAAAATCAAAAGGAAATCTCACGAAAGAAGTATTATATACTTATAAATAGACTGTGGATCTTTATGCAAAATAAAATCTTCACGAACGTGCCTACAAAAATTGAACCTAAATAGGAATTTATTTTATTCTGGAAATAATATAACATGAACTTTACTGTCAATCTTTTTTATATTCTTGCTTATTATTTGCATTTTGTAGTTTCTCGTACATTCAAATTTTCTATAAATGCATAAAGATCCGCAATGTACTTATAACTTTATGTAAATTTCTTTTTTTTTTAATCAAGTGTTAAAAATTAAACAGTTGTGCGTATACTTATTGTTTCGACATTTCTATCGATTAATTGTTTTTTTCTTGTTAATTTCGTAGCTTACATAAATAGCTATTTTTTTGTAATCTCTCTAGTTTAGAGATTTCCGAGAATATGTAGAATGTCATTGTTTATAAAAAATAAGTTAATAAATTACAATTTTACACAGTTTGTTTGTAAATTGATCGGTGTACGAATACTTTCTACACCCACTGTATGACTTGGCACCCTCGTAACTAAAACTCATTCAGAAAGTCATAGCGAATAATAATTCTGTTTATGCAAAGGAGAGAACTCGAAGAAGCTATCGTAAATAATAAACGTATCGATTGCTGTTTTATTCAAATTTCACAACTTGATTTTTAGCAACGCGTTGAAAATTGCTCTTCGTCGAAAAGAAGCTTGCAGTAATCGATTAGAACGTCGATCGACGTCTTCGAATAAATTCCTCTATAATGAGTAGACCTGTAGCTTAGAGCTGACAATGGATAACGCCGAAAGGCAGAACCAATCGATTGATTGAATTTATTGTAGATGGAGGGGCTGGTGCGGGAGATGCAAGACCCTCAGAACGGGGTACCCGTGCGCAGCCAAAAACAATTTCTCACCTCAATCCCCTCAGCTTTCATGGGTGAGTGCCACCGGTTTCTGCATTGTCCAGTAAACATAAACGATAATCACTGCGGTATATGAAATTACCTGTGCGTTACAGGTTACGACCTCATCGAGTGGCTGATGGAGCGGCTTTCCATCGAGGAATCAGGTACGAAGTTTGTGTACCCGTCGGACTGATACTTCGCTGATGTAGCATCATCGTAGCATAATCTGGCCATTTAATCATCGGTTGCCTTCATTTCCTCCCACATTATTTACTTTTTTAATCTTGGCATTATCGTAAACATTTACATCTAGTTATCCGACTGCGTAATGTTTACTCGTTATTATTTGCGCAAATTACTTATTTAGCGTCGATACTCACTAAAAGGGTCGTGTTAGAAGTATAAATTGTTTTAATAATCGATATTTAATAGATCAACGCAATTACTTTATTCGAGTTTCTCTCAGCCCACCGCTAGATTGTAATTGTCGTTAAAAGGGGATTAGCGTCGCGACAAATTTCCTACCTTGGGGTTCGATACGCAGCGTCGGAGTGCGCCGCGTTGCAAATTTCATTTCCTGCAGGGAAACGGGAATTGAAAGTAATAATCGAAGCGCTCGGCGCACACAAAGCGCTTCCTTCGAAGGTTCGATGCAAAGGTGAATCAGTTTAGTTTTAGTACCCCTATTCGCATTTACCGAGGGGCCGCGATACGATTAAACTAATTTCGGAATTTCAACGGCGTACATTATTACGCGACTACGAACGATAATAGCTAGACGTCCAAAGACGTTTTATTACACTTTTAAATATTAGACGTAGAAATTTATTCTGTGCTCTCACATCGTTTATAACTTTAGTTTACGTAAAAATATTCACTTCTATAAATTCTCAATCTGGTCTCGTATACATTACATTGAATCTATACGTAACTTAAGTCTCAATCTGATGGCCATTATAATTTAGAAGTTTAGTAGTCGACAAAGTACTTCTTCTGTAGAAATTGATTCTGTGCCTTTACATTTACAGAATTATTTATAACTCCAGTTTATGCAGAATTATTTAAAAGCCAATTCGTTATGTTAAAATATCAACAAACACACAGATTGACATCCTTGGAATTACCGAGGAAAAATTAAAAGTTGCACGATGTTCCTTTATAAATGAATGCTAAGTCTACCTTAGAAATGTACAGAATTAATTTCGTCACCCAATAGATACCCAAATTTTAGAAACGAACAAATTGTAGTTTAAGCCGAAGTCAATAACTTACCATGTCATCGATTTTACGTTGCCGTCATAACGTGTCGCGATATTATCTGAATTAGCGCAATGTGCAGCTGGTTTTAATCGTAGACAATATTAATTAGTACGTAATATACACTCTGGTTAAATAAACTGCAACAGATTCTAGTCACGGATCACGTAGCTTCCCTATAATGAAACGACGTGTAGCGTTCGAAACAATTGTTGTAAATTACACGTCTGGCGTGTATGAGTTATTCTCACGCGATACGCATACGTGTACATTAGTCTGATCGAACGTGTTGGCCAGAGATGAGTTAATTTTTTTTTCTAGGTAACAATTTTTCGCAACGAATAAAAGTTAGATAAAAACGGTCCAAAGTTGCACGCGATTAAGTAAATCATTTAAAAGTGTATTGTTAGAGATTTACTTGCATACGAAAGTGAATTATTGTGTCGACAGTAGAGGCGGTCCATATTGCCAATCAACTCTGCCAGTACGGCTATTTCTTCCCGGTAAACGACTCCAAGACACTCGTCGTAAAGGATGATAGTTCTTTGTATAGATTTCAGGTATGATATGTCTATGATTATGTTTAAATAATCAAACAAATGTAAAAGGAGGGTGTTAAGAAATGGCCATTTTTGGCATCGCCTGGAAATGGAAACTTCATGCAGGATCTTTTAGAGTGTATCCCAAGGAACAAAAAATGTCGGTATCACTTTCCCGAGAACCGATAGGAAAGTTGTCAAAAATACGTTCAAAGTATGAATGTGATGATAACGGAACTTAGGTATATTTTACATTTCGTCGTCTTCTTCTTCGGATATCGAACTGTCCTCGAAATATTTAACGTCTTTTTATAGGTCCTGCGATTACTTCGACATTATATCGATATTTTTTAATGAATTTCAATTCATTAACTTGTTCAACTGTTAATGGTTTCCGAGTTTCCACTACAGAGAATCGAAGGCTACGATCCGCAAGGAAAATATCACCCGGTTCAAAGTAACTTAATCGAGAGTATCGAAACGTCTTAAAAACGATTAATAATTAAAATGACAGCGGAGATTTTGAATTTCAAGTCGCAGTACCATCATAAAATATTGATTTAAAAAAATACCAAATTGATGTGGAACCAATTAACGCCATTTTACTTCAAACGAAATCGCATTCACGACATTCAAATAGTTTAAAATACTTTGTATATGTACTAATTGATAAAAGTAAAACCGCACTGGAAGCCATACTTGCACACTCATGTGGATGCAAAGTCGGAGTACGCGTTGTTGTTTGCTGTTCCCATGTAGCCATGATTATATGGTACTTTGGATTTGCTCGATTTGCTGAGTTCCTTAATACTTATTTCGAAGACGGTTCGATATCCGAAGAAGAAGACGACGAAATGTAAAATATACCTAAGTTCCGTTATCATCACATTCATACTTTGAACGTATTTTTGACAACTTTCCTATCGGTTCTCGGGAAAGTGATACCGACATTTTTTATTCCTTGGGATGCACTCTAAAAGATCCTGCATGAAGTTTTCATTTCCAGACGATACCAAAAATGGCCATTTCTTAACACCCTCCTTTATATATGTGTCTGGTGGAACGTAGTATCATAGTATCTGGAATATCTTCGGGATCAACTCGTTGATACACAATTGTTTATTATAGACACCATACTATTGGCCATGGCAAGATAGAACCCCTGACAATGTGGAGTATGCTATTTATCTAGTTAAGAGAAGTTTAAGAAATAAGCAACGCCATGGCCTCGAAGATTACGAGATGGTATGTAAAATCAGATGGTTTTCGTATATGTAAATCAAGTATGTTTTCATTTTTTAATAAAACAATTCACCCTCTTAGGAAGCTTTAAACAGCTTACGTAGGAACTTGCAAAACAAGTGGGACATCATTCAATTTCAGGCTGAGGAACAGGTGAATAATCATTCCTTTTTAATTCGTACATATGCAGCTCTGGCTAAACAAATTTGTTTTAATTAAAATCTTTGATTGGTTTGATGGATGTGTATTGAATGCCTCGTACATTCGAGCAAGTGACTCCTTGAAATGGTGTTAATTTTGTGGACCCAGGTACGAGTATTGAAGGAGCGAAAAAAGGGGGATAAGATAGTGAGCGATTCTCAGGAGCGAGCCTTTTGGAGAGTGTATAGACCACCTCCTTGGTGTCTCAGTAGTCTCGAAATAGCACCTGTACCTACGCGTTTTCGTCCTGGACTTTCACGTCCTCCATCACGCAAACGCACCTTAACCGATCTGCAACGCGAGGTGAATTCCTGCATTAAATTCTAGATGCCATAGAATTCTAATCGATAGCTTTCACTTGCCGTTTTAAAATAATCGTGTTTGTCGAAATCCTAGGTGGCCCTTTTGAAGAACAGCTTAACACGCACAAGAATAAAGGTTTCGGCTGCGATCGAAAATTTTAAGTCATATTTTGAAACGTACGTGGAATACGATCCAATGTTTATACAGCCGCAACCATCCAACCCGTGGATCACCGACGATCAAACATTTTGGCAACTGAACAGTTCTGTGTTAGTATTCTAAAATGTAATTAAAACTATGTCACGGATATACGACTTGGACCAGCTTGGAGTTTCCTAACGTATTTTACTTGCATGTCTGTACAGAGTGGAAGTTCCGACGGAAAAACGTGTAAAGCGGTGGGCACTATCGATGGAGGAGTTGATGTCTGATCCCACAGGTAAATACTTTGAAATGTTTATTCAGTTATCAATCTACATCGGTATTAAAGGTACTTTAACTCGATATTATTCTGTCGCAGGTTTGCAAGAATTCACAAACTATTTAAGAAAAGAATATAGTCATGAAAACATACGATTTTGGTTGGCGGTTAAAGATTTAAGGCATAGTTACCAAGCACAAATACATGATAAAGTCAACGAAATCTTCAGGTACGTATAGCGTCGTAGAACGTAGTATAGAGTTTGATAACAGTGAACATTTGTTCGCGTTATCTGTTTAGAGAATTCCTGGCACCTGGAGCTCCTTGCGAAATAAACATAGACGCAAAGACGATCGAGAAAGTCCATCAAGAAATTAAAAATCCAAGCCGATTTTCATTCGATTCCGCTGCTGAGCACGTGTACACGCTACTTTTGAAGAAGGATTGCTATCCTAGATTTATTCGTTCCGATCAGTATCGGAATCTCTTAGCTGCCGGCGTGCAACCTTTGCAAAAGAAGAGGTACGTTTATCTACCGCGATGTTAATTGCATGAAAGTCCCGCCTGTTAACAAAATTGAGAGAACCTTTCACTTTTAATCTTACAGATTTTTTGGCTTCGGCGGACAAGCCAAAAAGAAAGTTTCTTCAACTTCGACTCCAACGCCTAGTACTTTGCAACAACACGCTGTAGGTAGTATAAGCGGCGGTAAACGTAGAGGAAGCGATCGAAGTCTTTCCGGATCTGCCCATGAACTAGCCATCTGTGGTGTCCGAGATACCTCGTCAACGCCTAGGGTGCCGCACTCTCACAGTCAGTCGAATCTCACCGACATACCATACAGGTACGCGATATTTTTCATTCATACATTTCACAATTTCTTCACAATGTTACCCTAAAGAACGTTCGATTTTATTTGTAATAACCCGTACATCAGCTTCCTTGCGCCTTTTCTCAGAACTTTTCCTCCGGGTTCGTCGTGAAAATTTGAAGATGTACGAGCCAAAGGAATATCCCTGTCTTATGTTACTCTCCGTCCAGAAACGTTTATCCATCTCTTTCACCTACCCTTCGTTTCCTTACACACTCCCATTATCCTTTCATTCGAGCATTCACTCATCCCTTTCATCTTTTCCTCTTGTCCAGTGTATCAAAAGCCGCCTTAAGATCTACAAAGAAGGCTATTAGTTTCACTTTCTTCTACCCAATCTCTCTCCATATAAGATAATCCAGGGCATATATGTGTGTTGGCCGTCGCTCCTCTTTTTCAAAGCCTGTCTGGATTTCCGCCACAATTCCCTTCTCCTTCCATCTCTGTCTTTATACTCTTAACCATTATCCATGCATACGTATTGTATCGCAACATGTACTCCACAAATACGTAACAGTAAACAATGTTTAAAATAATTATTTCAACGATGTACACGCACGCATGTAATAATTCTTACAATATTTCTCCACGTTCTATTTTGCATTTCTCGTCGTTCCTAACGCCTATATAATACCTCCAACACTTTCGGGATTCCAGAGTTATTTTTGTTGTTTGTATATTCGCAAAATTTTATTCGATAGAAAGTTTGTGAAGTATGAAAATGAGACATCAGTTTGATCAGTCTTTAGTACAAGTTTTTTACGTTAACAAATGAGTGAAGAGATAGGTGTTATCAGTGCGGTATTTTCAGGGGAGATCTGCCTCGACTTGTAAAGATCTCTACCAGGCCTATCCCGCATAGTATTCAGTAAGTCCTCGAAAGAATTCCATAATATCCTTGCATAAGTTTCGATACGAATCTCTTTACTTGAAGTCACTTTTTCTGCAATCCTCGTTAGTCGATGTATTTTCTCAAGGTGTTCAACATTTTTCTCGATGTCTCTCAATGTCTAAATGGTGGAGTTGTTCTTTTAATATCTACTGTATTTTGAACAGATGTTTGCGTTGCTACATTTTATCTATGGCAGTCTCAGTCATGTGTCTCTTATGTATATCAAACTCGTGTCTTTACTCAGTCTCGTCGCTTGGAAAAATACTACATATAACGTCACGATATTATTGTGTTATTATAACTCGATGACTTCGAAGGCTTTCTCATCTTTTCGTTGCATGTAGAGTTTTGGTGTTTCCGATTCTCTTACAAATTTTGGAAATTCATTATTATTTCATACGTATCACAAACACTCCGTGTTGTATAAATACTTCTCGTCGGCACCATTCTAGCACATGCGAGCTTTTTCTACATATCGATGTCTAAGGATCACATTTTTTTTCCTCGATGTACAGAATTTTCCTGTGTACACTAGAAAATGTTTACAGTCGTATCCGTTACACGCATGGCCTACAGACACAATGAAACAAAACGACTGACGTCTACGGCGTCACGGTACTTTATCGAAAGGAAAAAGTGAAAACTAAATCCTATAATAAAGTTCATGTTGTCAGGGATGTTGGTACACCGGAAGCGACGGCTCCCCCTATGGACGACGTTTGTCCGTGGGACGCGGCCCCAGGTCCCAGTGTAGAACACGCCGCGGGCTCCATGGGTCTGCAACAACAGACGTCATCTGGAGCACCATTGGTTGAAGGCCAACCTGAAGAGACCGGTAACAACTTGATCGGACACCCGCAATCTGTCGAAATAGCGCGCACGTCGCGTAAGAATTCGACGCAGGTGGATTCCTGCAGTTCCTCATCCGATGTCAGTGTAGTAATAACAGAGGTCTCTGAACACTTTCGAAAGTCTTGCAGCGTACAATACACCGGTAGTTCAGGTACGTTTTTACACAAAAACGCGGTTTTATGTTTCTCAGAAAAGTAAATTTATTATTTTGTTGGAGTAGATTTAACGCGACTCGTCAGTTGGTTCGTAGCGGCGATTGCCATCTCTCAGGCACGTGGAAGGCGCCCCTGGTAGTTGGCAACCGGAGCTACAAACTTCGAAGCACCGGTTGCCATCTCTCAGGCGCGTGGAAGGGCCCCTGGCAGTTGGCAACAGGCGCTACAAGCTGCGAAGCACCGGTTGTCACCTGTCAGGCGCGTGAAAGGGACTCCTGGCAGTTGGCAACCGGAGGTACAAAGCTACAAACTTCGAAGCACCGATTGCCAACTATCAGGGACACCTTCCACACGTCTCGTAGATGGCAACCCGAGTTTCGAAGTTCTGTAGCTCCGATTGCCAATTATGAGGGGCACCTTCCACGTTATAAATGGAATTATATCGAACTATTAAATAGTAAAAGAAGAATTACAACTTTGTCGTACGTATCTTTGATGTAACAGGAACGATGGAACGAAGCAGCGGTGGACCCGGCACGATAACACGAAACTACTCGGTCAGCTCGACCAGCAGAAGAGTGAAGCTAGCGGAGATTGGTCGGCCAACGGCTTCTTTCTGTAACTATCCATCACCGCAACAATCGTTTGAGTGTTCTCACGTGGCAACCGATAAACCGGATACGTCTGCGACTGGAAAACCCGTAACCGATCGTAACGAGGAGCCCGAAAGCATTATTACCAAGTTGAGAGTCTCGTCGTTTGAGAGGGAATTGACGACGAGACCTTCGACGAGGGCTCCTTTGATAAGTATAAATGCAATCGTGGGGGATCTGATGAGCGACGTCTCGACGGTTGAAACTATGGAAAGAGCAGAGGATGATTGCGCGACAGTGGTAGAATCCGAAGGTACGGAAAGCGCTGCCAAAAGGGGTGAGCCGGACCCTGATAATAGTGATTCTGTGATCACCGCCGAGAAGGACTTGGCAACCCCGGCTCAAGCAGAGACAGAAATCGTGGAGCTACTGGAAGAGGCACAGGTTGTTCCCGTTTGGAAGCCGGATACTCAACAGAACGACCAAACAGCGCCTGTCACTCAACCAGAGCATCAGGAAAAGCGTGACAATAACGTTAACGAAGTATGCCCGTGGGAAGACGAGTAAGTATTATTGCTTCTGTTTTTAGTGATTAATTAATTGATATTTATGAACGGTAGTCTTAGACATAGCATATAATCTAGTAGCATATTTAGTATAGCGTAGTGTATATTCTAATTTTGTATTCAACGAGTAGCAGGTGAAAGGTTGCTTTTGTCCATTCGATTTTTTGAAATTTTACCCATCTCTACAGTGTATTCCAAAATTTACCAGTGGCTTTCATTAACCATGAAAGAATGTACAAACATAAATCTCCATATGCGCTCCTTCCAAATAACGGACACTAGAAGTTGTTCAACAACGATGATGTAGCATAATCAAAGGGGCTAAAAACTTCCACTAGCAAGTGTTGAGTAATATTTCCTCCTAAGGTAGAAAAACCATGTAGGGTCCAAAAGAAAATTATAGCAGCGGTTTCTTTGCACGCTTAGGCAATTTTCACTGAGGTCTCAAAATTGCTTATGACTTACAGACCTATAAAAAACATAAGGAACGGCAAAATTAGTTTAACCTGCTCACCGCTAGATGGCTATCCCATTCACTGTACCGTGGGAACAAGGTACAGCAATACAATTACAAAATTCATATTCAAATAATTTCCTCCTACTTATGTTTCTAACTTCAAATAGAACTTTTATCTTATTTAATTAAACTACTTCTCGATACCGCGCCGATAAAATTTCTTTTGGACAGAAAAAGAGAAAGTTGTATGCGAGTTTAGAAAACATTCCATTCGCGTGGTCGAACGTTTTATATGCGGAGCAGAGCTCCAGCTCATTTCAGATGCACTCCTCTTCTTAGCCATTCGATTCGTAGAGGAGAACCAATCACACCACACGTAATACAACATAATTTTAGTTCGTTATATTTCATTCTATGACCACATCTCTATTTATGTATATCATTTTTATGTTGAATATATTTTTAGACTCGTCGACTATTTCCAAATGAAACGTTTTTTTTTCCGTGGTACTTGGTATCGTCGAGCATCAAGGAGATACGTAAAGTGCTCGAATTATATGGGGCACCCTGTAGGTAGACTGGACTCGATACGATCGCTGTCAGCGGGTTTTTCACTTTAATCGCCGCAATTTACGTTCATTTTTTACCGTATCGTTTCTTATCTTCCCTTCGCGTATAAGCGAACAAACAATTATTACTTCAGCCCCCAGTGGAATTGTGTCGAAATCGAAATTATATCGAATCTGTCTGAATTATAACATCTCTTTTGCAACCACGGAACCTTAATTGTCCGAAAATGACCCAACTGTTATTCGTTACGTGCAGCATCATGAGTTGACTTGAAGGGGCCACAGTAATGATTAATCGGCAAAACAGGGCATACTGACAGTTATCGTCACCAACCTATAATTAACAATTACCGACCCGTCGTGCGTTATTTTTCCTCGCATACGTAACGACCTGCCCTTTCGCAAATCTCACGAATAAGTAGTACACTCGACGGTAACAGGATATCTCAGAAAAATCACTCGCCTTTATTCGGAAGGAAAGCATTCAGAGACCTGTCTTTGTTCCCTTTCAGCTCGAAAGGAAACAATATCACACCGATAAATGTGCTCACTGCTTCATAGAACAGATTAGCTGCTTCGTACCGTTGAGTGACCCATAAATGCCGAAAAACAATTACTAGCTTGCGAATGATACCTATTTTTTGTTACCATATCATTCATTCTGTGCCTTTATATTCACTTATTTATTATTTAATTTTTATTGTAACTCTAGTTTAAGTAGATGTACGTACTCGTCTGTTACGTTAAAGTATCAACCTTCTAAGGTCTCAACCTGATGGCCATCTAAATGTACAGTGGGTATTGAAAGTATTCGTACACCGATCAATTTCCAAAAAAACTGTGTAAAATTGTAATTTATTAACTTATTTTTTATAGACAATGACATTCTACATATTCTCGGAAATCTCTAGAATAAATAGATTACAACACAAATAGCTATTTATGTAAGTTGCGAAATCAACAAGAAAAAACCAATTAATCGATAGAAATATTGAAGCAATAAGTATTCGCACAACTGTTTAATTTTTAAAACTTGATTAAAAAATAAGAAATTTACATTAATTTACAAGTATGTAATACTTTCTTCGTAGGGTTTCTTTTTGATTTTATAATTATTATAACTTTTCTAAGGATTAAATTAACTAAATTATTAGTTATTCGAAGTGGTATCTTCAATTCCTCTATTAGAGCCATGTTTAAAAGAACTTTGCTGGAAATTTGATGTTTTCTAATTCATACGGAGCGTGTTTACGTTACAAACTCTATTGTAAATGGTTCGTCATAAGAATCGTATAAATACTTATTTCTTCTATATCTTTACCCACTTTTCGCATTTTTTTGTTAATTTCACAAATTATATTAACTAGTAAATGTTGTTTGGACTATATTTATCTTAGAGACTTCCGAGAATATGTAAAATACCATTGATTATAAAAAAAAAAGTTAAGAAACTACAATTTCACACAAAAGCTTTTTGGGAAATTGATCGCTGTACGAATACATTCTACGCCCACTGTATGTATGTATACAAGATTCAGTAGCCAGTAATCTAACAGATTACAAGTATAACAAGTAGTTATAATAATTGTAAAAGAATAACAGTAAACAAAATATTACTGCTGCGGGTAATGTCCATCAGGTTGAGACTTAAGAGACGTGTATAGATGTGGATACATTGTAAATTACAATTTGTAATAGATATCAGGTTAATGACTCAAAAGGTTGGCATTTGAATCCAAATTGACGATTAAGTATATCTGTTTCAATCGGAGTGATTGAATACAGAGGCACAGAATTAATTTCTACACCCGATATAAATAAAATACTTGTAGCACGTACGCAAATGTACACGTGCATCAGAATGAAAAGCATTGCTTGAAAAAGAATAACTAAATCGGCATCGATGGGTTAAATTAGACTCGCATCTCGTCCGACTAACGTCTGAAGTCTACGAATTTGTTTCAGGGAAAACTGTAGAGTGGATGCACCTTATGTAAAAACCTACGCGACTTTAGGTTACTTGTAACTTGGCGTTAATATTAAACTTACATTTTACACTTAAACATTCAGAAGTTCAATTTCGATTTTACTATACTAAGTTCGAGTGCCCGAGCTACCACCGTGGACACGTTTTACAATTGTTTACGTTCCTTGAATTCATTTGTATGAAGAGAAAGGCTATTGGATCGCTGACATTGCTCGACGTGGAACAGAAAAGTCACTTACAATTCGAGATAAAATCAAATTAGGGGTACCTCGTGAGCGTGAGTTTGAGACACGGTTGTTTCACTGTACATCAGTAAAATTCCATTTTACGTATTTTCTTCTAATAAAGGAAACATCAAAGGTCCTCGATCGATGAACATTCGGTGGAGCCGTTTCCGCGCGTAGATTTAGTGAACAGTAGCCGTGCAACGTGTATTAGATTAACGTGTTTACGATGACGCTGTTAGACAACGTGTTAAAGGGGAAAAAAGAAAGCAAGTAGAACCATGTCTGTCTATCTAACCGAACAATGAAATTTAATCGACGATATCCAAAGGTATTTCTCGGTTTAGTTGACGCAATAGACAGTTTCGACGACGAAGCCTGTGTTCATGCGATGGTATTAGATGCAAATATACGCTCTGCGGGTGCTCGTCAAATATGAGCCCATTGACCGCCCTCGCTGATCGCGAATTTCTTTAATACCAATTGCAAAAGCAAAAGTAACATTTATTCTTGGATAAATCCGCCCTGACACCAGAAAATTAAATTCAAAACGTTTTTAGTTATTGATACAAAAATTAACGAGATCCTACTTGAGTTCCATTACTCGACGATGTAACAAAAATGTTAAATTAACCGTTAAACGTGCATAAATGGTTTTAGACCACCGTTCGTAGCTGGATCGCTTTATTGTCGTGACGTTTGATCATTGGATACACTATAAGTATCTATTCGTAAGTATTTAGCGCAACGTTAAGACTTGCTTAAGGCCCGAACATACAACATACAGGCCTGTGTTAAGCTTAAGTGATACAGAAAATAATAATAAATATAAAAAAAAATGAAAAGAAAAAAAAACAGGAAACGCATCCGTTCGATTTCGATGGTAGAAATTCAATGTGTAACCTCGTTATAACTCGCTGTTCGTAATTATATAAAGGTAAATTTAAAAAAGGAAAATCATGAAAAAAGAAGAAAAGAACGTAATGGTAACGAATTCGTCTATTGAACCCCCTGAAGTATCAAAATACACTTATTCGAGACACGGTGGATTCTGGGTGCTGTTACTGCCCTAGTACCCAGAACCCTTTAATTATCGATCAAATATACCTTGATGAAATTATAATTAAAAAGTTGACCGTATAGGTTCATCTATCTTCTCCCTCGTTAGAGAATTTATTCAAACGCTTGTTAAACGTAACAGCAACGTCTCGTTGTACTTTAAGAATTAGGGAACTATATTCACGCATCCGTTCGTCTAGGTAATTATGTTTAAATATTTCGCGACACGCGAAAGAAAGTACGATAAACGTATCGAGCAGTCGCGTGTATTCCTATATAAAGTAAAATAACTGTGTTTCATAACATAGCTTGTTAACGAAAGTTATCGATAGGATTTACGATTATCCTGATCGAGACTCGAACGATGATTGCCCAGAGGAATTAAAGTGAATGGACGACACATGTTTTATGGGTATTCGGCACTTTATTAGAGGACGTTTGATCGAAATAAAAATGATATTTAATTCGTTAGTGTTTCGATAGCGAGGAAAAAATTTTATTCTGGTATTTCGACTCATTATTTCTTATACATACAATACTTATTATTTGGAAGCTCCCCAAAGTAAAGAATCGCATCTGCAATTTCTTTGGTTTTGATAGTTTGTTAAAAGATATTTGATTGAAATCGTTGAAACGTTATTTAGTTATTAATATTTTAACACGTTGACGGCACCAAGATGAGAGCAAATTTTATTTTGCTATTTCGACTCATGTTATTGTACAGAGTCAACTCATTGGTTGCACCCCTATTCCTAGAGCTCCATCTTAAAATCTTCTTTCATACATCAACCTCTTAAGTTGTTTAGTTACCTATCGAGAAGTCCTGTTAGCCTGATGGTCGGTTAAATGAATATTTTGTTACTCGAAGCGAGATTTCTCGTGTTGATTTCGTCTTGGTGCGATGAAAAATTGCGATATTTTTAAGAAGAGTTAGTTTATAAACGGCAGCAAAAGTAGTTCTTGTAACGCGGTTCGGGCACTCGAGGCTAGTCCTAAGAAATTTCAAAGTACTCACGACGAACTTACTGTTAATTCGGGAGCTCAACTTAATTATTATAAACATTCTTATTGTAGATAGGCAGTTGGTAATAAAATGAAGATGACAAATATATTACAGTTTCTAAGGAGATGCGTACGAGTACGGTTGTAGACGTTGAGATTATTCAGTTAACTGTGACGCATTAGCGATGATAGTTGTCGTAAGACTAGATCTTATTTACGAGCTGCGATGATTCGTGAACCGGAGAAGATCTATTCAGTTATGTTAATACATGAAATCCCGCTCGATAAACCACGTGACGATTACCCACGAATGAGCATCGAAATAAATCAAAAAAATACTATTTTCGTTCTCAGTTTTTATAGACACTTATATACACGTACGATATATCTACGGATTGTTTCTTGAAGACCTTGTTATATCGCACAAGGGACAGTCGAGGGGATCGCTGAACGTCCTGAATCCTTTGCCATTTTTTCATTTCGTTCAATTAATAACGTGCTTTTTTTCTTAATGTAGCTGCAGTCCCATAAGTAATCGTACCCCCCTATATCTATCGAACAAATTTGAATTAGATGATAGGATTGATGTTTTCAAATAAATGTTTCATTATAAATATGTACATAATTAAACCCTAGACTCGTATATATTTAGAATGAAAAATTTGTTTGGATGCATTAAACCTATCATTTAATTTCGATCAATTTCTTTAATTGACATGGAGAGTACGAATACTCGTGGAACTGGTTGTATATTAAATAAAAAAAAAAACGAAGTATGTATGTATTAGCTATACATACAATAATACTTATAATTATAAGTGTTCACAAACGATGAAAAATGCTCAGAGACACCCGATTGGAAAACGCAAATATCGGTTCCATCGATCTCTTACTCTTAAACAGCTTGTTTTTCGATCTTGAAACCTATCGTTTTGATGGACGGAATTATTATTTCTTCGTACGGTATGGAAACACGATTCCTTGACTATTCACGTCTTCCAAGCCTTTGAAGGAAAACAAACGAAATAGTTGTCAACCAATGGCGCTATTATTTTTCTAAACTTAATTGTGTAAGCTGTAATTTCTCGATGTAGAACATTCTTGAAAGATGGCTCCATACAAGTAATCAACACTGTAATAATTAAATTTGCAAAACTAACGAAAGATTCATTAACTTCGTTTTTTAACACTCGAGTGCTTTTCTCCTCGTTTAGTTTTCTTTGGCCTGAATAATTATACGACGTTACAGTTAGATACAGACACGCCATATTTACCACCGAAAGACTGAAAGTGTATCTAAAAACCCCAACGAAAATATCCATACGAGGCTCCTAACGAAAGATTTTCGACAGACAACTAATTTCTAAGAACATAATTAAGTCGTGTCGGCGGTAGAGTGGGTAATCGATTTATGACACCAGCGATCCTGTACGTCCCATGATATTTTATCTGCATTTCATATTAGATAAATCCATCGACAGGTTGCTTTCACGTGTGCGCTAAAATTTATATATCTAGCGGATTAAAGTTAAGAAATTAGAAGATTTAAGTCATCTATGAAGGAGTCTGCAGGAAAGAATCGAATTGGCTAATAGGAAATAATGATCATTTTACGATATCATGATTATTAACTCTAGACTTACGATCATTTTGACCCATTCCAAATTTCACAATACTCACTTTTATCCGTACAAAGAAACAAGCAAGTATCCAAATTCATTTTTGTCTATGGCTCTTAATTAATTTTAGGAAATCGACTTCACTTATAAAAGCATTACTTCAGTAATAGAACTCTGATAAGAAATATGCCGAATAATATTGGATAATAAAAATATTGTTCGAATTAAGTGATACGTTCGATATTTCCAAACAAATGTTTCATTATAAATACGTACATGGATAAACTTTACACGAGTATGAATTAAAAATGATAATATTTGGAAGCACGAAATCCTATCATTTAATTTGGATAAATTTTTTCAACAGACAAGTGTAATACAGGGTGCTGCAGAAATAACTCCCACATTTTAAAAAACGATTGAGAAAAAAATGGTACGAGATAACACCGGATACTTTTTATTTCTTAAATCTAGATATAAAAAAGTTTTTTTTACTTTGTTTTAAAAATTATGTCGTCCAAATGATGGCCTTTACGAGCGACACACATTTGGATATCATCTCAAAAATTTCGCGCTAACGACGCCCCTGTATGGACCGCAGCTCGGCGGATTTAAGTCTATGTGACTTTTTTCTGTGGGGATATCTCAAGGCCGAGGTTTTCAAACATCGTCCTTGGTCGTTGAATTAAAGGAGGCCATCCAAGAGGAAATTGAAAGAATTTCCCCCGAAATGCTAGCGAGAGTGATGGAAAACTTTCAAGAACGACTCCAAATGTGTATCGCCCGTAAAGGTCACCATTTGAACGACATAATTTTTAAAACATAAAGTAAAAAATCTTTTTTATATCTAGATTTAAGAAATAAAAAGTTTCTGGTGGTATCTCGTATCACTTTTCTTCAATCGTTTTTTAAAATGTAGGAGTTATTTCTGCCGTACCCTGTATATATAACATTTAATTTCATTTATTACTTACACATCAATTCAAGTCTAATGCCAGTCTCAGTTTCATCGATGGCTATTAAATTACAATAGCACCCAATCTACGAAGACTGTAGAATCAAAGTAGTCCAAGAAAGGAAAGTTCCAAATCGATTCTTCCCCTAATTCCACCATAGCGTAAAAGCTTTTATCGTACGATAATTTATCCAGAAATCAACTCTATTCGAATACAATTGGTTTGCTTCGATCGAACTCGCGAGGGATTGATAAAACGGAAGGAAAGAATATAACATAAAAAAAAAAAAAAAAAAAACTGTAACGCGAAAACAGAATTATATCGCGATCGTTCATGTCGATCAGCCAAAGCTCGATTCATCGATACAGATAAATAAATGAGAAAAAAAAGCTACAATCGCTTGGCAAAAGAGTCCAACGCACTTTCACATTGTAAACTTAAACTTGGACTCTCGTAGGAAGAGAAAGGTGTATTTTTTCATACATTCTCCATAATTCTCCAGGAAAAATGGAACGGTTGAAGTCGAGGAAGTGGAAAATGGTACACGATGAAAAAGTGTCGTTGACGTTGCACGCGAAAATGATCAAAAACGATGTTTCTGAACGCGAACGGTGAAGAGACGTTGACGATAAAATCCAGACGTATGCGGTTTGTTGTATTCTAAACGAAAAAAAAAAAATAAAATCAAGTTATGGTTGTTGAATAGTTGCTTAGATAAAAATTAGAACGTAAACCGTAAGGGAAAAAGAACGACGAACTCTGTATCATTATTAGACACCTTGTAATCGCGCTAGCGGTCAGCAAAGCGTCTATTACGTTTCAATCTTTTTCACGGTGCTTAACTCATTACTTGTTACGCATACGAGAACACACGAGAAAATTAAGATACGTAGCGCGGTCGAATCGAAGAAGGAATCGTCTGTGGGTGAACAGGGAAAGGAACTTCTCATTGGAAGAAAATTCGAAAGCTACGCTTACTTCGAATCTATCGTCCCAAACTAACGCAAACGTTCAGCATACTCTCTTTACGCCTTGTCGACCAATTCAATTGAAATGTCTGCATTCGAAACGATATCCTTCGAGCTTTTATTCGAAACCACCGAATCGGAACGAACGATTACCCGATAGCCGATTCTTTCTTCGGTTCAACTATAAGCGATTAAAGTACATGCAAAAGAACGAAACGAGGATGAATCGTTATTGTTTAGGAGTAAGACGACACGTTATAGAGTACAAAGAGGCTTTAGTGTACATAGTTTTGTAAAGTATTAACAGTGTATAGTTATCAAAGAAGAAAAATGGAAAAAAAAAAGTAAATAAGAAACCGACGGAGCAGAGCCGACCCGTTTCGCGTCAGTAGAGGCCGACATAAACTACGAGTGACGAGTCTTCATTGAGAAATTAAGACATGATACTCAACGTACGGTGCATATTGCGATCGCATGATTCGCCGTGATCCCGCGTAGAGAGAATCGAGCAAATTTCTCATTGAACGTAGCTGCGTTTACGTGTACGCGTTTCACGTGTGTCTGCGTACACGTAAAAGCAGGAAATATGTTATTCGTTGCATATATAATATGTGATACATGCGTAATGTTATAAGCTGTCAATAGAATGTCCTAATATTAAATATTATAGTGACATTAAACTGTGCGTCGTGTTGAATCCCTGGCTTACCTCTTTCTCCCCGGCACAGCCGTGACATCGTGCACCTGTGTCTTCGTCGATCGTTTTTAGACCGAGGATTTTACGCATTCGTGACGTACAATAGCATAAAAATGTTGAATGTATTCTGCAGTTATTATAATAACAATATTTCATTTTGCATAGTTATTTCAATTGCACAATTCGATTGTGTTTGACGTGTGTTTATTAGATTGATTTATGTCAGAAATGCATAAAATTTACGATCTGGTTCGTTTTATTTTAGAGTGTATGTTTAGGAGTAAGAAAGTAGCGTGGATTCGTACAGACGAAGATTTTATTTCACTTTATATAATGGAACAACGATCGTCCAAATTTTTACAATTCTTCCGAAGGTGTGAATTATTTTTGAAACGATATCGAGAGTACCTTTGAAAGGCAATAGCGTTTAGATTGAATTTTTTTTAAAAATAGACTGCGGATGTTTATGCATTTATAGGAAATTTGAATGCGCAAGAAACTACAAAATGCACACAGTATGCAATAATGTAGAATTCGTATTATAATATTTACAGAGTAAAATAAATTCGTGTTTAGGTTCAATTTGTGTAGGCACGTTTGCAAATATTTTATTTTGTATAAAGATTCGCAATCTACTTATAGACGATGGCGGTAATAATCCCTGTGAAAAATTAAATAAAACATTGTCGCAACTTTCGCCGTACGATGGTTTCTTGCAAATTGTACTCGAATTTTGTTTAATAACAGCGACAGCGATGAAGGGGACAGCTGGGTGGATAGACGAGACACTTGTCCATGCAATAAACGCTCGCTCCTTCTTTGCCAGATATCTCTCCGACTGCATCGCAAAGTTCCCTATTAAAATTGTCCAAACGATTACTTCGTTACTTAAGAAACTATCAAATAACTTGAATACTTAAAAATTTATGATCCTCCTTCTGAGATTACGCAATATGTTTCTTGGGCGTTCTAGCGAATTTTTACTGCGATTCGATCACACATTACAGTCTAATAAACCCATTTCAAGGGATAGAAATGATCGAAACACTTTATGAATCTATAAATTCATGTATTCATTTATGCACGGTGTTCAAGATTCGTTGAAATGTTTCAAAACCGATGAGGACTTCAAGGCTGTTTGAAAACTTTCAAAACCGACCAAGACTTTTAAGACCGATCAAACCATCAAGGCCGACCAACACTTTCAACACCGATCAAGACTGTCAAGACCTTTTTGTATTCTATAATGCTCGTAAGCGATACGAATCTAACGTTACAGATTCGATTCGGTCTTCGTCTCTCCTCGCTAACGCCATTCCGTATCAATTTTATTGAAATCGACGTGACCGATGGTGACGCGAGAAAGTGTTTAAAAAAAATTCCAAGTTTCTAGATGGATCAAGGTGCAATTACTCACGGACATAGGCAGATGGACGACGGACAGTTCGGTGGGTAGCGGAGACAATTCATTTGACACCATTCGCTCATGCCAGGTATACGTCGGTACAAGTAAGTGGGCAAGCAAACCTGAGACCTAAAATTAAAGTCACTTTATAGTAGCCGCCACTTTATGGTAAATGTCCATTGATTTAACACTCGGGTCCATTCCAAATTTCATACGATTTTATAGAAACCATTCATACTTTTCGTTAACCATGCTGACTTTTATCCATATAAGAACATCTCAAGGCTCCTGATTAATTTTAGTCAATCGACTTCGATCGTTAAAACATTACTGCGCTGATAGAAATCTGATAAGAAATCTACTCAAACCTAGTGTTAAAATCGGAGTACGCTCACCTGACGACAAGTGGAAATATGTTGTTTGGCGAACGATAGTCTTTGTAGTGCAGCAAAAATGGATTATCCTGCTGCACGAAGAGCGGTGGCACACCAGCTGTACTCGTAACAATGCTAACGTCCGCGCAATTTCGAAACGTTTCTGGCTTACCACAACCGCTAGCCTCGGTCCCATTTTCACAAATGCCCCACATATTACCTATTAACATTTATTAAAAAATTATGCTCGATAGCATTGCTGAAATGTAAAATATAGGGTGGAGGATGATGGGAAGCACCTGGTTGTTAATGTAGGATACTTTGTGGGTCGATAAAACAAATCGCTTTGCTTACCCACAGTATACAGTTACATGCAAAAGTTTCCGGCCAAAAATAATTTTGGAATTAAATTATGTATAATAAGTGTAAAGTAGAAGTACAAATATATCATAATAAAGAGCTTTTATTATACTACCGAAATGTATTAGGTTGTCCGAAAAGTTTCTTTCGCTTTATTGATAAGTAATACATGCACAATATTTTATGTTTTATGTTACATTACTGAATTGTGTACGATTCATTTTGCTCCGTTACTGTTACAACATGAATATCTATGACATGAGATTGTCTATTTATATAAACACGCCCACATAAAATAATTGAGTGCAACTCGCGAAAGAAACTTTCGGGACAACCTAATACAACTCAAAAATTTGATACAACAAGTAATAATTATTTTCAACAAAAATAACAATTTTTACTTCTTCATAAGTATCCGACCAAGTACAAAACATAAAGAAAAAACACGATAACTGAAGAAAACATGTTCAGAAATGGTTACAAATGTAACATTATCGTCAATATTTAGTAACCATACCCTGTGAAGCTATCACGGCGGCATATCGATGAGGCATCGATTCAATAAGATTTGATGATTAGACTGCGGATCTTTATGCAAAATAAAATCTTCGCAAACGTGCCTACGAAAATTGAACCTAAATAAGAATTTATTCTATTCTGTAAATATTATAACATAAACTTTACTTTCAATATTTTATATATTTTTGCGTATTGTTTAAATTTTGTAGTTTCTTGCATATTCAAATTTCCTATAAATGCATAAAGTTCCGCAGTCTATTGATGATTCTATCTTGAGAGATATATCTCCACTCTTCTTGAATTTTTGTCCATAAAGCAGCTTTATTGGTACAATTAACAGTTCCTATTCTTAGATTAAGCTCTTGCCATAAATGTTGTATAGGATTCAAGTCTGGAGATTGACTCGGTCAATCTAGAATTCGGATCTTATTCTTCGTGAAAAAGTCCTGAAGCAACCCAGACCGATGTTTTGTATCATTTTCTTGTTGAAATATCCATCTTCGTGGCAAATTTCTACGGGCATAAGGTAGCATTTGTTCCGATAGAATATCTCTATACATAGGAGCGTTCATAGTATCCTCAATTTTGTAAATTGGACCGACGCATTTCCAAGAAAATACACCCCAAAGCATAATAGTATCTCCTCCGTGCTTCACTGTTGGTATTTGATATCGGAAGTCATTCCTAGTGCCTTGCGGTCGTCTAACATACCTTCTCCCATCATTTCCAGATATTAGGTTGTCCCAAAAGTTTCTTTCGCTTTATTAATAAGTAATACATGCACAATATTTTATGTTTCATGTTACATTACTGAATTGTGCACGATTCATTTTGCTCCATTACTGTTACAACATGAATATCTATGAAATTAGATTGTCTATTTATATAAACACGACCATATAAAATAATTGAGTGCAACTCGCGAAACAAACTTTCGGGACAACCTAATAAATTAATTTTAGTTTCATTCGAAAACAGCACTTTCGTCCAATCTTTAACTGTGCAACTCCGGTGTTTCTTTGCAAACTCTAATCTGGCCTTCTTATTTTTTTTTTTACTTATCAGTGGTTTTTTAACTCCAACTTCTGTAAGTCTACGTGAAACAGTACTTTGACTAATGCCAGCCAAATGGGAGAAGGTATGTTAGACGACCACAAGGCACTAGGAATGATTCCCGATATCAAATACCAACAGTGAAGCACGGTGGAGGTAGTATTATGCTTTGAGGTGCATTTTCTTGGAAAAGCGTCGCACAGTGCGGACAAATAGCAAAATTGTGGACAAAAATCAAAATTTCTTTACTAATATAAATATATTGCTATTTATTCACAAAAAAAAAATTAAAATTAACCATAAACATTAATAAAATCACAACAAAATTAACAAATTTAACAAAAAATTGACAAATCCCGATTTTGATGAAACTTTGTATACTTGTTTGTGGGACCTTCTTATGAATTACACCATCCTCAGTACGTGCAAATTTTGCGTTTTGAGAGAGAAATTAACCCTTTTATCCGAGCCGCCCCTTTTACTTTTGCTCGGAAACGATTAGAGATTACAAAAAAATGTTCAAGCAAACATTACACTGTTTTTAAAGGCCTATAAACCAATACCAACAAATCTAAAAAAGAACAAATTTTTTTTTAAATTACCCCCCTCCCCTCGAAATTTTTGAAAATTTTGATTTATTTCTGGATCAGTAAAAGCGTTTTTTTATTCTGAATCCAACGGTATGTATGAGTTTATGATTATCATACAGAAGAATGATGTAATATTGTAAAATTGTCGCTTTAGTAGTCCATATTTCGAATTCTTTAGGAATTTTTTTCTCATAAATAATAGAAGTTGCTCCTATATGTTATTTAACAAAATATGCTTCGTTTTGACCAAGGATTTGAGAAATAATTTTTATAGAAATCCATAAATCAATTAAATCAGAATTTTTAACTTCCAATTACGACCCTACACCAATAGTACGGTAAAAATTATGTAAAACCGAACGTTGCAAGTATTTGAAAGAAAACTTATAAGTTTCGTAAAATATAACAAATAATGTATCCAAATATGTTGAGAACTCAGGATATTTTTTGCCGTTTTGTCTGTATGTTTGTTTAAAGATAAAGATTGTATTATGGATACAAATAATTAATAAATGATTATTTATAACAATTTCCACGTTGACACACATTTTCTACGATAGAAATCTGCCTCACATTGTGATATATACTAATATTGAATTTTGTCCACTTATTCCGCACTGTGCGTCGGTCCAATTAACAAAATTGAGGGTACTATGAATGCTCCTATGAATAGGAATATTCTATCAGAACAAATGCTACCTTATGCCTGTCGAAATTTGCCACGAAGATGGATATTTCAACAAAACAATGATACAAAACATCGGTCTGGGTTGCTTCTGGACTTTTTCACGAAGAATAAGATCCGAATTCTAGATTGGCCGAGATCAATCTCCAGACTTGAATCCCATAGAACATTCATGGCAAGAGCTTAATCTAAGAATAGGAACTGTTAATTGTACCAATAAAGCTGCTTTATGGGCAAACATTCAAGAAGAGTGGAGAAATATCTTTCAAGATAGAATCATCAAATCTTATTGAATCGATGCCTCATCGATGTGCCGCCGTGATAGCTTCACAGGGTATGGTTACTAAATATTGACGATAATGTTACATTTGTAACCATTTTTGAACATTTTTCCTTCAGTTATCGTGTTTTTCTTTATGTTTTGTACTTGGTCGGATACTTATGAAGAAGTAAAAATTGTTATTTTTGTTATAAATAATTATTACTTGTTGTATCAAATTTTTGAGTTGTACATTTCGATATTATAATAAAAGCTCTTTATTATGATATATTTGTATTTATACTTTACACGTATTATACATAATTGAATACGAAAATTATTTTTGGCCAGAAACTTTTGCATGCAACTGTAGCTTGGACCAGAACTCAAGTTGGTCGCAATGTTGACCGACAGAGTGTCCTACGTTATCAATAGAGCGATTTGCTGTATCTACAGAGTAGTCTACATCACCTTCCGAGTAGCTCTTTTACTCTACCATTTCAAAATCTGTATAGTTCCTCCTCTAAAAGCACAAGTGCATCAACATTTTCGTTTTCTATAAAATAGTCAAGTAGCGTTGAGTCCAATGACCCTTCTGCTTAATTTCTATCGCCAATCGTCAAGTTTAGTCTGCCGTATTAGTTAATTACGATTATGTGGTAGCATCGTCATCGTAAAAATCTCGTCCATCCAATTGAAACAGTAGTACGATAATAAAATGAAGAACATAGAAATTTCGGTTTCCTTGCTTCGTCGATTTGTTCAACCGATGATTCATCATCGATCGCGAGTCGTAAATAACGCGGGGGCTTGGTTCGCGCGAACGGTTCCACGAAACGGTGCCGATAACTTCGCGACGACTAACGAGGCATTACTGTATTATATTCGTACGTTGAAATTTAAGCCCCCTCTTTATAAATCATTCATATTGCATTCGCGAGGAAGGACAAAATCTGCCCGCCTCCGATTTTAATGAAACTCCGTTAACGATCCAGACACGTTTCGATTGTGAGGGTGAAATCCCCAAACTTTTAATAATCCTTATTCATGCAATAGTTAACACGTTGACTGCCGGCACACATATGGGCGATAAGAATTTTCACTGAGAATTTAAATAAATTCATTCCGAAGCTGAAGTGTCGAAGAAAATAAATCTGAATAGGATTGGTAAATTCTAATATATTTATTATATTTATTATATCATTATATCATTTCTAATTGTATAGACATTTTCACAACGATCAGTCTAGCAGTCAACGTGTCGAGTACATAAATACAACGATACCAACCAGTGTAATAATTCCATTGTATCACGCACTGACTACAGGTGACGTAGGCTGGTAAAGTTACCCTGTACCGAAAAATGGCTTTCTTTTCGGTGTCTTCGGGTATCTCGAAGCGAACGTCCCGTGTTCCAGACACATATAAAGGATACCTCGAGAATACAGATTTGTGTCAATAGATTTACTGCTTTTAATAACATACCAGAGATACAGGGAATTTTGATTACCTGTCGAAGCAATCTTGAGTTGCTTCCTTCCTTGGATTATTGTTGGGGCAAAGGTACATTTCGAATCGTCCCATGTGGTTTGCCGTCAGTTCAACCTCGACGTCGATATCCTGTACGCGTATAACACCAACAAACGTAACGTAACAATGATGTACGATTATCTATTAATTATTTGAATCGCTACTGGAAAACTTTTAGTTTCGTGGAACTTGATAAATAATCAAGACACTCCTTTCCCACCTATCTATTCCATCCTCCAAGAACTTATCTATTCCTGCCCGCCTCTGCATGCCTTCAGATAGTCATGCTAAGTGCTCCAGCGTCTCACTGGTACGATCTTAAAAAATTCACCAAACAGCACTCGCTGTCCATTAGCCATAACTTTATACACGCATTCCTTAAGAATTATTCTAACTTTAACTTTTTTTAGGCGACCCTGGGACCAGGCAGAACTTCCAAGAGGATAGAAGATAAAAGAGTGCAGCGTGATACAGCAAGATAGTAAATGTTTAACGAGACAGCCATTAAATTCCATTCCTCAGTTTCTGAAGGAATTCCTGAAAAAGGCGTGTTTCGAAAACAGTCAACCAGGACGAACCCCTTATTTTTCTCTTTCGCCTGCAATGCATTCCCGGATTTATAAAAACGAGTGGAACCGATGCAAGCAATTAATATATTCGAATCTTGTTAAAAAGTTCCATTCTCTGTTTATCAGTCGAAGCATCCGTATAAATAACAATCAAATCACCTGACCAGCCGTGTAGTGCCTGACAATAGTTCCTCTTGCATAGTCACCGCCTGCTTCGTGGGGCCTTGGCTCGTTCAGGTGATAGGGATCACCACAAATTCCGCATTGACCTTCGTTCTGCACCCATTGCACTAAACAGTAACGCTCCTATAAGAACTCGTCAAGACAATAACGGTAACGATACTCAAATTTTTCATTTTGTTAAACCTCATTGACTTATTATATATTTAATTATCGAGTAACTCACCCGCGTAGCCACCGCAAAAGAGTTCGTTGTCGTTGTAATTGACAGGATTCGGAAATCCAAAACGCCACATGCTGTTCCGAGCAGGTGGATCCATCAGTCGTCCGTGCCCGTTCACGTGAATGGGACTCAGAACCTTTAGAATCGCCAGGTTTTATTCTTCCAAACACCTCGAGTATTTTACGACGAATAATTTACAAGATTGAAGGTAACCATAAAACCTGAGCGTATCATGCTTATCGAGGGGCGCCTTCCAATCGATATATAGCATATATAAAAACGTTTGTCCAGACACATGAAGATTTCAGAAAAATTTCACAAAATTTCTAACACAGGCAGCCACTTTTAATTAAAGAATAAATTAAAGGAATCTTCTGTGCTGAATTTCGTATGACATCAAGATTCAAAGCACTGTTATGGTATCAAGGGGCGCTTTACAGTTGATGTATAGCATAATTAATTATCGAAAAAATCCAAAGAATTTTAACACGGGCAACTTTAATACAGATTTTTTAATTAAAGAATAAATCGAAGGAATCTTTTGTGCTGGATTTCACGTAACAGCATGATTCGAAGTACTATTATGGGCGCGCATGAAAAATGGCTTCCATAACTTAACTCGCGACTGGTTTACAAGGTATTCTTGAAATTTCGTGGAATATCGCTTGGCCCTCATCGAGGGCCACGGGCAAGGAGTATGCAGTTTTCTTAAAACAAAATAAACAGTAGGTCGTGTGCGTTGCGAAACGCGGTGACGTAAAAGTAAATCACGCAACTGACAGGTCGGTTGGATAATTTTAAACGAGCCCTCTGGAAAACGTGTTGTTGTAAACTTTCCTCGCCAGTGGCCAACGTGATTATACGCCTGGACGAAAATTACGACAACCGTAATTTGTCTTGAAATTGAAACTAATCGATAAAAGCGGTGATGTGTTTATTATGTAACCGAAGTGTGCTGAATTAATGTTACACTTCTGTGGGTCCAGGAACAATCTTTGAGGATGGTGATACTAGTTCGTAAATATAGGGTGTCCCAAAAATGTTGTAACACCTTGAAAGAGGTGGTTCGGGTGGTGATTTGAAACAACATTTTCTTTAGCGAAAATGTTGTCCGAGGCTTCGTTGAGGAGATATTAACGAAAAACACTGACCAATGAGAGCGCGCGGATACCGTTGGAGCGGCCGCGGTAGCGAAGGCTATGTGGTAAGCGGCCACGCTTGTACGCGAACAAGTGACTCGACGTGCATCATAGGACATTGACGCAGCCGCCTAGCTCGTAGCCTTCGCTACCACGGCCGCTCCAACGGTATACGCGCGCTCTCATTGGTCGGGGTTTTCTCTTAATATCTCTTTAACCAAACCTCGGACAAACATTTTCGCTAAGGAAAAAGTTGTTCGAAATCACCTCTTGAACTACCCCTTTCAATGTGTTACAACATTTTTAGGACACCCTGAATAGAAGAACCAACGTGGATTAATTTGTGGGGGATTAGTTAGGACAAATAAGATTGAAGGGATTATTAGGACATTAAAGTGTTCGGATAAAAGAGTTTTCACGTAATAGGATAACTAGTGGTTAACACTCAATTTTATTAAATTAAAAATTATTTGAATTTATTGACCGTAAAAATTAATTCTCTGACTTTCTCAGACCTAATGTTCTCTCGCACAGTCCAAGAAAGCACGTATTAGTTTGAAAACTTAATATTGAATGCGGTTTATTATTTGTTAACGTGACAAACATGGAAGATAATTATTTTTATTTAAATTACAGTTGTAAATGATTGAATGCGAAGCCCCAGAATTAATTTCTACGCCGAATACTTACCTGCAGGAAGAAACAGGATACTAGGAACCATATATCGGGGCAGCGAGATCTGGTGATCATGGTTGCCTAAAACAGAATTCACACATAATATAGATTACAGTGTTATTTTTAAATCATTGTAGGAATTCCGTTCCGACAGGATTGGTAATGGTTTTAATTGTGCCTCAGAGTTCCGGTTCCATTTGCTTTAAAGTATTATAGCAAATGAATTAGGGGACATCGTGAATAAATTGCAGATGTATGGCCTTGAATCAGTTAGTAGCAACGGAATCTTGCGTAAGAAAGTAGACGCTAGAGTATGTATAGCGCCAATCGGGTCGGATTACGACAATAAAGGTGATTCTAAAGCTGCTTATTGTATCATACATCAGCTGTTACACGCGATCGTTTGGTAACTGTGACACTTTCCTATTCATTGAAGCATTTTACGAATTCCATAGTTTAATTTAAAAGTAAAAGCTTCTCGTTTTCCCTATATAGATTACAGGGTTACTTATTTAATTCAACAATTTTATTAAGGCGTCCAAACCCAATTTTATACGCAAATTAATGCGTACACTTCAGAAGTGTAAACATAAAAATTCACTCGTGCATTACAGAGAAGAACGTCGATGGTGTCCAGCGAAATTCTGCTTTTGCGATTACCATGAAAAACCCGTTTCGTATAAATTCCTTGGTTGGTGTATATATTGTTATATTTATTTTGAATGTGGGCGGTGAATATTGGTTCATTTTTTGCCCCTAACCTGGATCATTCACAGATTGTTTCTGGAATTTATTACTGTCTTTTTCTTATGGTTTCCTGTTATAGAAATTTAAAGTTCTTTAAATTATCCTTCGACACCTAAAGAGCGTAAATTCTATCAGAGCATAAAGTTTATTGGAACGTGTTCCTGTTCTATGTTTAATTTTATTATTTGTCCTGTTTGATACCATCTCGAGAATCATGTTTCCATAATTTCGACGTTTCGCCAAAATACAAAATAATGTCGCGTAGATTAAAAGGAGAACGATGAAAAATTCGTATACCCTTTCGTTTCCGCTTGTCGCTGTCTCGCTGACATCCACGCAACTGAAGCGAAGCGAAAATATTGAATGAGATTAACATACATTAAAGTTGACATTAAACCGATCCAATGTTAACGTCTTTGCACGTGAACGCGTCGATAAATTAATTGCTAGATAAAAGAATCACTAACCGAAACACTTATCACGTGTCTGAACACAAATGATCCGGACTCGGACTTTTATTTCAAACGTAATTCAATCTCCTGCATTCGATAACACATAACAATGACGCATTGGTTAGGGGCACTCGATTGTTAAACAAATTTCAAATGTAATCACGTTAGAAATTATTATTAATCGGTTATTTAGTTCAGTAGGATACAATAATCGTGTGGTCGACTTTAATTCTTCATTCATATAATCCTTACATTATCTTAATTGTCGTACAACTTATTGTTACCTCGTTACTCGCATGTTTAACGACAAAGCAACGTCTTTATTAGCGATCATAACGGTAGTAAGTGTGACCCTCAGGGGCTGTAGCATGCGAATATGGCAGCTGCGGTACGAGCTTAGCGATTCGGGAGTATCCTAGCTAGAGGAGGGTCAGCGGGCCCCAGACTGGACCCCTAGCAGACGAGTAGCAAACACGAGACTAATTTAAATGTAATGTATAGAGTTACGATCACGCGAACTAAGCGAAAATTAAAGAATTATGTAAGGCAAAAAGTAATGTCAAAAAAAATCGAAATAATTGTATTGTGATGTATGGATTCAATGAAGTGACAGTTACGCACGTAAGTAAGCCGAGCACCGACGACAGGTGTCAGAGTTAAACGAATCGCTACTTTATACTCGAGAATGAAGATTATAACCACATTACCGCGGTCGACCTCAAACCGCGACAGCCGATACGCGAGGGAACGCCTTACGAAAATGAGGGTGAATTGCCACTGAAGAAGCTAAATCTTCCTCAGAAATTTCATTTTATCCCACAATAGACGAGTCACCATAACGTAGCAAATCATGTCAAAGGTGTCAAAAGAAAAATGTCTTTCTTGAAGAAACTAGATCCCTCCTAAGTGGGAAGTAGATAAATCTATTGCTGTAAAAAAAATTTGAAGCGTTTGAAGAATAATAGTCGCATTATAACAGACCAAGGATGAATTGCCACTGAAGAAGCTAAATCTTTCTCAGAAATTTCATTCATCCCATAACGGACGAGTCACAATAACATAGTAAATCATACCAGAGGTGTCGAAATAAAAATGTCTCCCAGATCACTTCCTAAGTGAGAGTGGATAATTCTGTTGTTAAAAAAAATTCGAAGCGTTTGAAGAATAATAGTCGGAGTACAACAAACCAAGGGTGAATTGCCACTGAAGAAGCTAAATCTTCCTCAGAAATTTCATTTTATCCCATAATACATGAGTCACAATAACATAGTAAATCATGCCAGAGGTGTCGAAATAAAAATGTCTCCCAGATCACTTCCTAAGTGAGAGTAGATAATTCTATTGCTAAAAAAAAAAATCAAAGCGTTTGAAGGATAATAGCTGCATTACTTTAAATTCTCTCATCTGTATCGCAGTATAAGTATGTATATTAAAGGCAGTCGCCCACGTAGCTCAGCCGCAAGATAACACTTAAAAGGAGTTAAAAGGATTTTGAAGGGGACAGTGCATCTCGAATCGTGAACATTGCCGAAGGTGAAGGTCGTTGATTGGAATCTGGATGCGCATGTTGTGAACCATGTGTGCCATCGTCCAAATTATTTCACGCCCTTTCTCAATGCAGAACCTTCGTTCATTCGCACGATTTACAAGTAGTTCTCTATCTATAATAGCGACGCGACATTATTTTACTTTATCACGTTCACTGTTGACAGTACATCTGAAAATTTCGAATGCGTTTCGATTCACAGGACAAAATAAAATCGCCATGTCCATCGTGAAAACTGGTGAATATGTATAGGACGAAATGCCTTTGGAACAGGTGTTTCAATTGACAATAGATGACGGATAAAAGCTACCGCTGAACAAAGAATGGTCGCGTCTACCTCCGGAATTCGAAATTACTCGAACCGCGATCCTTTCGCGAAACTATGAATACATCTTCGTAAAGCCAAGTGTCGGGTTCTCCGAACACCTAAGCCCTTCGTGCGCGTAAACTTGTTTGAATACCAGGAAACATCGGGAATATGAAAATAGTTCATCTACGAAGAATTCGTAAGTAACACAGACACCTTTCTTTTCCTTATTCACGCGGTGATGTTCTTTTTTTAACGATACATTGGTGGACGTGTACAACTGGACCATGAATTTTATACATATACGGCGTACACTACATAGAAAATATTCAATACTAGTTGTGCCCCGCGGCTTCCTCCGCGTGGAATACTATTTATTTTTTATGTCGTTCGCGTTCGACTGACTATTTGACCGTGTATTCCTTCATGAATCAATAGGTGACTGTCTTTTTTTTCTGTAACTCAGATATTTCAATCGATATTTCTCATTGTGAGAACGATAATTATATAACGATGACACAAATTTTGAGATTTCAAATTGAAAACGTATTTTAATCAAAATAAAACGTAGCCTATGTTATTCAGGGATATTGTAGCTTTTCAATTCCAATTCTTTATTTTATGTGACGATAGTGTAGCTTTCTATTAGCGAACAAAATTTTAAAATCGGTTCAGTAGTTTCGGAGATTAACCGGAACAAACAGACGGACACTTCAACTTTATTTATACAGAAGAAGAAGATAGATAGATAGATAGAATAGATAGAAGAATTTATGTAGAATATGTTCTATTAATTAGTGGGAATTTGAAAGAAGGAAATAGGTAGATATCAAATAGGAGAAGAGGACAAAGAGGTAGTAGATAGAAGAATGTCAGGCATTAGAAGAGGGAGAGAAAAGAGGAAAAATAGTAACAGAGAGCGCAGATGAAAAGGTGATAGAATGGATAAGGGAAATGGAGAAGAAAAGGAAATCAATGAGAAAAAAGGAGACTAAAGAGAAGATCACAAACACAGTGGTACATAGATTTAGTAGTTATACTTGTTAGACGTTTAATGGCAGTTTAGCTAGATAATAGATTATTTAATAGATAAGTGACAACGGATACAAGTTCAATTGGTTTTGCGTAAGACCATGTAATTTTCGATCATGTTCGGCATACATTTCTTACATTCGATCCTATCATAAATGCATAAAATCTAATTTTGTTACAAGTAGACTTTTGTTAAAAGTCTACTTGTAACAAAAGAAGCGTTTATTCTAGCCGTAGCGAGTTTATTTAAATGGCGAACGAATATCGAAATGACAGCGAAATAGCAAAGAACCGGAGAGACTAAAAGTAATCTCAAGACAAAGTATGCCCAGCGCATATGTAATAACATTCCCCCAAGGACTCGGTTCGAGAGAAAAATAAAAACCGGCATAATCAGTTAGCGAAATTCGGCTCGAATAATTACATAGGATCACGAATTAACCAGAAAACGTCCCAAGAAACGCGTAAAATTGTAAATGAATATTCACGCGTGAAACAAGTATCGTTTTTGAACCTTCGATTCACGATACTTTCGTAAACTGGTTTAACCATTCAGCCTTTTGCATTTACCTGAAACGTCGAAACCGTTAACAGATTTCCCTCTTCCAAATGGAATTAACACATATGGATTGTCCGATAAATACATAAACTGTAATAGGCGCTGCCGGAATGGCAAAGTACTTACCGGCGTACGCGTGATCGGGGTCCTAATATCGGTGGCCGAACGATTATGTAGGTGAAAACTGTCTGGGTCAGCCGTTTACGGAATTTAGGAGGAATTCAAATTTCGGAGGCACTCTCTCGATTTTAGCGATTCGTTTCAGTCGCATGGATAACAGGGGATTCCCGTTCAACGTCGAGCCCGGATGATTTCGACGCGAACGAATCGTTTCGAGTGACGATTGCTTGAAATCGACCGAGATCGGTTTTACGGGCACGTTGTAGTTTGCTCGCGATGCCACCCGATCGAACGATCCGACTCGAATGCGTTGGCGCGAACGAATACTCACGCGACTCCTGGACGGCTCACCGCTGCCGAAAAACTTGACTACCACTACCCAGTGTCCGAGAGCAAAGGACTAAGGCGTGGTTTCCACGCACATTAGGATGATGCGCGTATAAACTTGCCCCCCCCTCGATTTTCACGGGAGATCGCCGTCTCCAGACATCGTGTAAATAAACAAAAATATACACGTATATAATTTACACAAAAATAAAAGAATCCATTGTTAAAGATGCCTACCTACACGGTTGAACATTTTGTCTTCCTTCGTATACAAATTCATTGGTTATATGTATCGCGTTGATTATTTTACACAATTGTTGAGTGTAAACTGAGCCGAAGTTGAATGTGTTACATTTTTAATGTTATCTGAAAATTAACACGAAACAACAGTTGAGTACATTCTCAGAATCCATATTTAGCAGATCGTAAACTTATTACACGTTGTTTGCGTTAGTTTAACGTAAAACAGATTTGTGTACGTTCTTCCTTAAATGGAAAAGTTGAAACTGAAGTAACTTCTGAAAGTACGAAACTAAAGCATCGACAGGTTTATTGCCGTGTTAGAAATCAGTCGTAACAAAGACTTTCCTAGTTACTTCCTTAATTACTTGTTTAAGTTTGTATTTGGCTTATCGGTCACTTATGGCATCGTAGGTCACCGCTTGACTTATATGTTACGTGGGTCATAGGGTGCCGACCTAACTGATTCAATCTACAGGAATTCTTTATACTCGTCGCAGAAATTATAACAAGTAGCCGATAATAAAGGAAATAATTAAAGGCCATAGAAATGTACAGTGGCGGCCATATACTTACGTACAGTAAATAAAATTAAATATTATTTTCTGTACACTTATACATTAAACAAGTATAAGAAAATCAGTTACATTTTTTATAAGTTTACAATATACGTAATAAAATGTCAAAATAGCTTTCCTTAATTTACTATAATTAAAATGTTTTTTATATTTTTATAACGAAGTGCCAAGTTTTCTGCGGACACATACTTAAGTACATATATGTATAACGTCTATATTTTCACATGTTTTTTTAACTCATAATTATAATATTGTTAATATTTCGTATGTAAACCCTTATTTTTGATAATTGCAGCACACCTTCGCGGCATGGATTCGATAAGTCGAGCACATCTGCTAGCAGGTATCGAATTCCATGCTTCCTGTACAATAGTGTACAATTCATCCATATTTTTTGCCTTTTGTTTCTGTACATGTTTGTCGACATCAATCCACAGCATCTCTATTGGATTCAGATCCGAAGATTGTGCTGGCCACTTCATTACGCGAATATTATTGTCACTCAAAAATGTCTTGACGAATTTTGCTGAGTGTTTCGGATCATTATCCGCCTGATAGATCCATTCCTTTGGCATGCATTCTTCGGCGAATAGAGAGCAATACATTTTTTACAATATCCAAATACACGTATCGGTCCATGATTCCAGTTATTCGATGAATAGGACGTGTACCTTTTACTGTCATAGCCCCCCAAACGAGTACCGACCCACCACTACCTTTTACAGTTGGTTTAATGCAATTGTTATTAAATTCTTCTCCTTTGCGACGTCTCACGTATACTTTGCCATCAGATTCAAATCGATTAAATTTTGATTCATCTGTAAAGATTACTCTGGACCATTGCTGGAGCATCCAGTTTAAATGTTCTTTCGCGAAAGCAATCCTAGCCCGACGATTTTTTTCTGAAATGAACGATCTCTTTCTGGCAACGCGTCCGTATAATTGAAACTCCCCGCGTGGAAAATAGTAAGGGAAACCTCCATAATATTCGGGTCCCGAATTGGCTTTAATATGGAATCCATGATACGATTCTCCCGGATACATCCCTAAAAGGTCCCGACAAGGCAATTACAGGTTTCCATTTTAAAATATAGTCAGGGCTGGATAGGCGAATGATTATAGGGCCCACTGGGGTTTAAACAAGATACTCAATGATTTCCACAATAATTTTAAACAAGGACTTGATGGGTTAACCACTACGGGAACCAATGTGGTACAGTCAGAGTTTGGAGAAATCGTTAAAATGAAATTTAATAGGGGCTTAACGAATTGTGAGGACCTGAAAACGTTTAGTCAGGGTATTGATCATAGAAATCAATGATAATGTTTATGTTGGAAAACGAATAACAATCACACCTCTTGAGAGGGAGGGGGGGGGAGTATACCTCTTGAGGGGTCCAGTACATATTGAGTAAAAGTATCAATAAAAAGAAAAACATTCATCGTTTGCCCGAAAAAAATGATTAAAAATACACCCTCGTACCGCGCGCGCACTGTGGTATTTATAAATATAAATATTCCATGTCAACTACGTTACCTAATAAATTGTTAAATAAACATTTATAATAATAATTGATTATATTTTCGTGAGTTATTATTCGTGAGTCGTTATTCGTAAGACATTTTTCAGAATTCCTATTTTTTATTTAAATATTTCTGATTTACATGCAATGACGGTGTGTCCAGGACTATTGTAAGGGTGTTTCAGGGGCCTGATGGAGCTATAATCAGGATTAAAACGGGAAATAATAAGGCCCTGAGAAGCCATCCTTTAATGGCCTCGTTTAAAAAAGCGTGACAATCCCTTATGCCGCCTTACGGGAACCGAACGGGTTTCCTAAATAGGCCCCGAAATTAATTCGGGACAATTAACTTGGACCTTTACGAATCCCTAACAAAATTTTCACACGGGTCATCAAGTCTTCGCTGGACAGTTTTAATACTTATTTCTTCATGAAGATCTGTTGATATTTCATCGTGGATGGCAACTGCAGTTTTGAATCTGTCCGCTTCAGATAATAATCGGTGAATCTTGCGATCAGTTCTTTGATCAGTTTTTCGAGGTCTTGCTTTACGAGGAACATTGTCTGGTGTTCCATGATACTTAATATGTTGTATAGCTTAATGACAAGCCATAACAGATATTTCTAATTTAGCGGAAATCTTTCGGTAGGACATTCCATCCTTCCGAAGCTGTTGTACTAGTCGCCGTTGGTCTGGCGTAATATTTCTTCCTTTACTCATCACAGCACCATTGTAATACGTCTAACTGTAAATACTGCTGCGCAGATACTGGTAAATATTGTTTAAATTTGGCTTAGCTGTGCGATACAAAACCGACATACCAGAACAAAACATTTACAAAGTACTTATTTTCTCGAAATAAGTAAAAGTTCTACTGCAGATATGTACATCAAGGTTCAATACTCTTAGAAAGAAATTGTTGATACGACTATCTGAGGTCTGTAAAAATAACTCAGGTTTTAAAGTTAAAATATAAAGTGTACGTAAGTATATGGCCGCCACTGTAAATCTTTTGGGATATAATTAACCCATTCACTACCAACTACCAGATATCTTAATTGTAATTGGTTACGAAATAAGTTTATATCAGCTTGTGTTAAGTATTATTAAAAAGGATGAACGAAAGTTTTCTACGGTAATAACTTTGATTACACATCTGTATTAAACCTTGACGTCCAAGGCAAAATGCATTAAATTTCCATTGAATGGATTAAATATCTTGTTTCTCTTCTTTAAATTAATCTGTAAAATGAGTAATAGTGGCATCAAATCAGAATGATCAAACACGGAAAAACACACGAAATAATTATCTTCTACAATCAATGAGATCGATCCGAATCGTTTATCTGAAGATACTTCTGTTGCAAATAATTATTTGCGAATGTAATCGCGTATGTAGATAAGCATATCGAAAACAGCAGATAAAACTACGAGAGTGTGCGCGCCACTGGATTTAAATATTCGTGCAAGTTCGTGCGCGTTCGAGTTCGTCCGAAAGCGCCCTAAAGGAAGGTAGAACTCGAAGTCTATGGTCAATAGTTGAACGTGGTTGGACGTGACCATCCACTGTACGCATTTCGAATATTATTTCCGAAATGATCGTTTAAACCGGGAACGGACAACGACGCTTTGCAAATATGCTTTGTAAATTAAAGTCGTGAATACGTAGCGCGAGATCGTTGAGCGAAAAATTCACGGCTGAGGTCAACCGGTTCGTAAAGGTTCGTGCAGTTTCGGGAGCGGTCGAAGGTTTTCTGTGCAAGGATCAGTGAGATCTTCGTGTCCAGTGCAGATCCACCCTTCGCTTGGAACGGTTCATTGCGAGCGTGTCGCACGGATAAGCGAAGATTTATCTCGTGGGAAATCGTGTCCACGACACTGTCACGACCAGAAAATGCTCGCCAACAAGTGTCAAACGGTTCTGCACGGGCGTAACCTGTCATGGCAATTCATCAATGGTATTTATCATCATTTCTCTCCATTTCTTCGTACGGTTCGACTCTTACCCAAATATTTACACGAGTAATTTAAGAGGTACCAGGAGAAGGAATTTCCCAAAATGTAAATCTGCGCATAGAGCACTTTGAGGATCGATAACTCGGTTTTTTTCCATAAACCTCGTTCTTCACATTTTTACGTGTTGTTCTAATGTTGTATTCAAAGACATAGATGTCGCATCGGTTAAAATAAAGTGAGACCACTTGGCAATGAAAATTGAAAATACTTTTAGAACTTTAATGTTAATCAAAATATATATATCTTAATATAATTATAAATTAAATTCTGTTGTTTTGTTTTGCGTAAGTACATAAATGTGCGTATAGGATTATATTATATCTTATATATATATAAACTTACGCAAAACAAAACAACAGAATTTAATTTATAATTATATAATATATATATTAAACCTGAATAATATGAAAAATTTAGCTTAGCTCTTTGGATAAGTCGAACTAATCTGAGGTCAAAAAGAAATTCGTTCGCGTGGAATCGGCTAAATACTATCAGGTTTTCTATTTCTTTGCGTTCGCTATCAAAAATTTGGTGCGTTCATATCGCCACTTATCTTATCAGAATCTCGGATATTGTATGGTTCGACAAATTGTGGATGCTTCCACGCGGATCCATGATTTACACATTTGCAAGCATGTTTATTGGCATTGTGCTTCCAGAAATAAATTCCAGAATTTAGTTGATCATTTCGTTTCTCGAATGCGCGAATTGTATTGAAATGTAATGTAAAAAAATACGAAAGGTCGTTGTACTGTAAAAGGAGAAGGTACGTTCAACCAAAGCTGAACGAAATATTAAATAAATAACGATTGAGATCGTAGAAATGTAAAGCTCTGATGTGACACTTCTTACTCGAGTCGATAACATCAAATTACTATTCTTCATTATACTGATACACGCAGACTGTAACGTGATCCAAGGTATATAAGAAGAACTTATTATTAATTATTACTATTCTTTTAGATTGCAATAAATGCTAAATAATTAAGAAAAAAAGAATGTAACGGTTACAAGTCGTGTAAAAGTGCGTTAGTGTGTCAACCAATGATCCTTAACTGACATCAATGAAACTAAATGTTCGGTTTATTGAACGCGAGGGCCGTCTAACCTGATTACAGTCTGTGATACATGCGAACGATAGATACGCTTAAACAAATGTTTTCGTGACTGAGATTTTGTACTTTGTATCTGATACACGTGAATATTTGTATAATAGGTGTTCGCGGAGCGAAAAAAAAAACTTTAATTTCATTAATTTAATTTAATTTAAATTAATAAAAATTCTAAAATCGACAAATCTTTTTTTTATTGCTTCCGTGTAGGTAGTGCGAGCACGTGGAGGAGATGCCTGACTGGATATCCATCGGAGGAACCAAAAAAACCGGTAGTCGCGACAGAAATACCAGGTCCTCAATCACGTAGTTTGTTACGGGACCTCAATACGATGCAAGTGCGTTAAGATTGTCGATGCGACCAGTTGCTTTCATGTTAAATTTATTATTTCAATTCTGATAACAATGAAATTTTGTCGCTTCATTCGCGAAATGAATTAAAACCGTTTCATGGGGGAGAAGTTATTTTTTCTATCATAATAAACAATTTTTAGTCACTCTAACTCTATTTAGAATTCGGTGTTTTTAGTCTTCTATAATCTGTGTAACGGTTAATTCCATGCATTTTCTTTTCAACGGGGTATTCAAATGTTCTTAAAATCTAAACTATCCAGTATAATCTTTAACAATATTAAAAGTCCTTTCAATAACGAGCTGCTTTCACGGAAACTATTGCTTGCAACACTTTCTGTAAGACACCCTGTATATAAATGAACGCTATAACTGTATCTAGAATCGAGATTTAATTCTATTCCATAATGTTAACGTGTTAAAATGTACCTATTAAATTATCTACTCGCACAAAAGTGCTTGTAATCGCTCGTTAGCGGGAATCTACAGGGTCTTTAGCAGCAAAAATTATCATAATTACATAATAAAATTCGAATCACATTCATTTACAAGAGTCGATTTTTCTCTGAATACACGATGAAATTGATGACTTTAGCAAGCCTCTTCCGTACAATTCTTCGCGGATTACGAAAAATCAACAGGTAACTACATAATGGACGTCGATGGGAACGCTCTGCTCGATGTTTATATGCAAATTTCGTCGATACCCTTAGGCTATAACCACCCAGCCATGTTGAAAGCCCTTGCCGATCCTGTTAATCAGGTAACCAAGATATATCTCATAGAGATCCATCTTATTTTTTGAATAGCTAATGTATTCTGAAAATCTTGTGAAAGAAAAGAAGTCAATTTCCTGGTGGGGGTGGGGTGGGGCGGACAACAAAATAATTTTCCGAGTACAACTTCCTTTATTTGTTCAGAGAATTATGGCAAACAGACCCGCGTTAGGCGTCTTCCCCGGAAAGGATTGGCCAGCCAGACTTAAAAAAGTTTTGCTACAAAAAGAAGTAAGTCGCAGATTGAAATTGTTTAAAATGATCCGCGTTATGTGTTGATTATCGTATTCGATCTGTGGACAGATCGCTCCTCCAGGATTATCGCAGATCACGACTATGATGTGTGGCTCCTGTTCCAACGAGAACGCATTCAAAAACATTTTTATTTGGTACGCCGATTGCCAGAGAAAGGGTTCACCGTTTACGAAAGAAGAAATAGAGAGTTGCATGGTGAATCAAATTCCTGGCTCGCCACGATTCTCCATACTTTCGTTCAAAGGTAGTTAAACCAGCGCATTAAAAGTAAAATTGTATACAAGACACGTTCGATGGGTTGAAAGAGTAACAACGATATTGATAATAGGCGCGTTCCACGGAAGAACATTGGGATCGCTCTCGACGACGCACAGCAAATACATTCATAAAATAGATATCCCAAGCTTTGATTGGCCTGTTGCCTCGTTTCCTGTCTACAGATATCCCTTGAATGAACATGTCCGAGAAAATCAGAAAGAAGATCAGCGCTGCTTAGCCGAAGTATATACTTACTTTCCGATATAATATTATTAATCGAATATTCAATATTGTACATCGACGGTTACGAAATAATCGTTTTGCAATGTTGTTTCATTAGGTTGAAGAATTATTTGAGAAGTATAAAACTGAGAAGAAAATTCCAGTCGCCGGTGTAATAGTGGAACCAATTCAATCGGAAGGAGGCGATAATCACGCGTCTCCTGAATTTTTCCAAGAATTACGACGTATAACAAAAAAGGTACCGCCTACGTTACATGGACATCCGTTATGTGAACGTTTCTATCAGTATTTATTACCATTTCAGCACGGAGCAGCTTTATTAATCGACGAAGTACAAACAGGGGGTGGCCCAACGGGAAAAATGTGGTGTCACGAACATTTCAATTTAGAATCTCCGCCAGATATAGTGACTTTCAGTAAAAAGATGCAGCTAGGTGGTTATTACCACGTTGAACCATTAAAGTAAGTGATCGAAACAGTCGCGATTACTTGATAATAGGAGACAGCTTTCGATTCATGGATTTAACGCGTTAATGAATTGTTGCAGGCCTAAACAATCGTACCGCGTATTTAATACCTGGATGGGAGATCCTAGTAAAATAATATTACTGGAGGCAGTATTAGAAACAATAATGAAGGAGAATCTTTTGGAAAGAGTTACGCGCGTTGGGGATTACATGATAAAACAACTGACGACTTTGCAGAACGAATGTTCTACTATGATTAATTCGGTTCGCGGTCGTGGTACGTTCATCGCGTTTGATTGCGCTACGCCTGAACTCCGAGACACAATGATTAAGAAACTTTTAACCAAAGGTAACATTTTAATTCTTGTATTTACAAAATGTACGTTTTCTAGAATGTAACAGGAATATTTTGTTTCGCAGGCATTCAAATCGGTGTCTGTGGAAACACGTCGGTAAGATTAAGACCCGCCTTAACGTTCACAGAAAGTCACGCTGATATATTTCTAGACGCACTACGATCAGTATTAAAGAAATAATGACATACGTAGGTATGTTACTTTCTGAATTACATTCCGCGTAACATTGAAAACCAAGTCTTCCACTAAAAGAGTCTTCCATTAAAACTTATTTTTATAAAGTACGTTTATTGTATCACAGAACAAGTCAGCGTACACAATAAGTAAAGTATAAATATTACTTATATTTATGTAATAAATTTTATCAATATTTTATAGTATAATTCAATACATTATCAAAGACATCATCGGAAACTTACACTCTATAACAGACTAATAAGACCTAAACCAATTATACTTGTTTTATTTTATGTACAGCATATTCAATTATAGTTAAATGAAATTCAATGTATTTATAATTAATTTCTCCTCAAAGAAAATCACTACCAAGAAACTTGTGAGCCATACACTCATGTTTTACATCTCAGTTTAATTATCATATTTCATTTGCAAATTTATTTCATCATCTTTTTTAAAATTTCAGCAAAATGTTCATACTCCTTATGATGACTCTTTTGGGACATATAAGCGACTGTTTTCATCTGCAAAGAAAAAAGATTTCATTCATAAACCGTTCATTTATGGAAACTGTTACACATTTTTACCTTAACTTTTGAATCGATGAAACCACGTCGTTGAGATAAATTCCATAGATTCACGGCCATATGTGCCAATGATGGATCGCGTAAGTCAGCTCTGATAACAAAACAATTAAAAAGCTCAAGCGCGAGGGCTGCCTGTTTCTCGAGTTGATCGGTCGATCCAAGATATTTCAAATGAGACAAAATCTCTTCTACCATTTTCGAACATATTTTGTTAACTTCGCTTATAAATTTCTGATCGGATCCGTACAACTTATCATTAGAGTCGACCTGTATATACAATGAAAATCATAACTTATTGTTGCACGATTATCGTCATTTTTTAATTTGTATTCAAAATACCTTGTCAACATGGTACGGATAATTTTCCTGAGTTACTGCCGACAACAAGTCAAGTACGCGTAAATACAAATACGATTTTGTCAATGCATTTTCCTCGAAACAACGCTGAACAGCATTGAGTAAACCTCTCATTAAATATAGAACACCGTGTTCTGGACTATCCTAATAAGATTGTCACGAATTTTAGTGATACTTCATATTTTTTATGGACCGTATATCGTAAACATTTCGAGAGAAGAGGTTATATAAGTACATACCGGTACAACCAATAAGGTTGATAAAAAATTCGACAAGTATGAAAGTAAATATGCTTGCGAGCTTTTTTGTCTTCCATCTATATCTATCGTTTTTGGCATTTCGGGAACTAAGCTCAATGCAGCCTTAAAGCACGCATCGGCTAAGAAAATATTTTTTCTTCGATTACAATTAGGGAAGAAATGCTCGATGTAGTAAAACGTGAATAATTACCTTGACCTAAGCACTGATTTAAAAGTGCAACTTGACCTGATAGGAGATACAGCTGCAATCGCGTATGAACTAACGTCAACGACGGAATGGTGATAAAACAAAATGCAGCACAAGCACGTACAAATGCTGACGTTCTTCTCGTGTGATGACCGCGAACAATCTTTCGAGTATCAACTGATAATCTATTTGCGCACTAAACATAAAAAAAAAGTTATTCATAGTTTCCTAATCAAGTATACTATCTTGTATAGCAAATAAATTATTATTCGATTACTTGTACAAGCTGTATATGAACACTGTCGAGGTTAGGGAACGCTGCTCTAGCTTCAACGTAAAAATTAAGTTGTTTCTCAAAATCGCGATCATAATCGACGCGTTGTACGAGACCACATATAAGTTGACCAATTTGTCGTTTTTCATCTTCAACAGTTAAAGCACTGAAATTATTAGCTTATTACGAGACAATACATATATATCCGCGAAACAAGAAAGTAATATTTACCTAACAGAATCGTGCATTATTCTAGCAATAAACATGAGAGCATTTATGATAATAGGATCTGTAATCGAACCACCTTCAGCACTTAAACCTTCTATAATAGTTTTACAAACTTCAACCTTAATAGTTTCCTTGTGGAACAAATCGATTAAAGGTAAGAAGTTGTCCTGAAAAATGTTTCCTAGAATATTTTGTACATATAATTTAAAGTGAAAATACATTATAAAGTAATAAACAAGTAACAATTACCATAGCAAATAGCGATTCAAAATCTTGTTTATGAACCACTACTTTTTCGATAATATTTTGTAACTGTGGATAGTAATGTTCAAAATTTTTGTTTGGATTAAGTCGATCAATTATTTTTCCAAAGAATGCATTTAGTTCGTTAACCTGCAAGTTATAAATTGTAAGAAAAATATATATCTCTAGTAAGAATAATGCATTCACTTACAGAGAAATGAATGGCAGTAAATTGAATCCATATTTCGACACAATGCATAAATTTTGTAGGATTTGTTAAATCTGTTATGTACTTCCAAGTTATATTGAGAATTGCTTGACAATCTTCTTTCGGTGGAGCTTCCTGTACTAGGCATTCGCCTATAGTTCGATATAACAGATATTGTGGGAAACCTGGACAATTTTTTTAAAGAAAATTATAGAAGAAATGATTAATTACAAATATTAATGCGTCAGTGAATCACATATAATAATTACCATCATCTTCGGTAGCAATTATCAAATTTACAAACTCCATTGCGCGTGTAGCAATGTATGATGGTTTAAATGCTGTTAAAACGCTATTTAATAGTAAAGAACTGAAAGAGAAATGTGTCATCATTTCATCTCATTGAATATATCATTATATAATGAAGTAATCGACTTACTTGTTTGTTTGTTTTTTGCATTGACAAAGCACATCTTCTAAATGATTTTCAGGAACTGTAGCTACTAAAATTTGCAAAATCCAATCTAAAGCTGGCGAATAGAGATTTAAATAAGAATGCAAAGACATATTTTGTTTAACCAGTTCGTCTTTTACAAATTGACCAAATAACTGCTGATAGGTGGAGAGGAAATCGTAAAAATTTCCTTTTACAAATTCGAAATCGGATGTTTTGTTTAAAGCTAGTCCCACTCGACACAAGTAACATCTAGCATATATAGCTATAAGAGGATTACCAATTCCTCTTATCATTTGAGTTATTCGTAGCAATGCTTTATTGAATTCACTGAAAACCAATAACCTCTAATTAGTATTAACACTATATAAATCATCTGTAGAATTTACGTATAAATAGATATATCGCTATTTTACCTTGTTGTTAAAAAACTGTAAGACTTTATTATTGCCATCTCTACATAAAGGCGTGGAACTAATTCTCTTATTGACGCGATCTTATAAAACCAATTCCTACAGGTTTCTTTTGCATTTTCGGGTACCATGTCCGGTGTAAAATTATCAGGTAAACTTGTAGGCACTTTGCTTCCTGGTCTATAAAACATTATTAAATACTAAGATTGAAAATTACATGTAATTAAAGCAAAGTGACACTAACTTGTAATATTCAGCTTTGGCCTTTAAACGTTCGTATACAAGTTTTCCAAAAATATCCAAAATGTCTGTGATGAGAACAAATTTACTAGGATAGAAGGCCATGACAGATGTGTCTACTAATAATTTGGCACACTGAAATAATGTGACATTAATATATGCTTCTTTTTAGGTATAATCAATTACATGAAATGGAGAAGAATAATACCTGAATTGCTATTTTAAGTGCTTTAACTCTTTGATCAGAGTGCCATGCTTGTACAAGTTCATTATTTAATTGTTCAATTCTTGCAGTATACTGTTGCTGCGATAAATCTAACATTTGTCTAACAGATCCTTCTTCAAAATCATCTAGCTGTTCCAATCTTGTTCGTACTTTATCAACTACTCCACCAGTTGGTTGAACTTTAACAACTACTATAATATAATACAAAATGTGTTTACATAAATTGTAATTTCAATTTATTATTGATTTAATACTATTTATAAAAAAAGTACCTTTTTCACCACCTGTCAGAAAACTAGTAACAATAGACAACTTTTCGGAAGTTGTGTATTTATTTAATATTGCTGTACGTCTTGTTGCCCAAGGTTCCACTAATTCTTCTGCGGTATCTTTAGATTTCTTACTAGTAACTGCAATATTGCAAGAGTAATCCCACTATAATATGAGGATTATAGTTTCAAATACAAATGGTTCATGATATAAAAACATATGAATCAGACATTTAAATGAATAAAATTCAAAAACCTCATCTGCAGCCATCTTAGATAATGGATCTAATTCTTCTCTAGCAAACTGTGAAAGAGGATCTGATCCATCAAGTGACGAATGACTTAATAATGGATCTACTGAAGAATTCCCAGCAATTTGTGAATGAGTTGGTATTGGTATACCAGTTAAAGTACCACTGTTTGTATGTTGCAATACATTACGTTTAACTCCAGTCCGTCCATCAATCAACTATAACCAAGTAATTGATAATGTAACATCAAAATTGTTATTTAAACTCTTATTTTAACCAAAAAAATTGATTTTATTTTTTACCGTAATTGTAACAGGTTTTAAAGGATGATCTATTGCTTCTTCTAAGTATGCAAACTGTATTGTTTTATGGTTCACAGGTTTTGCGATCCTATAAAATACATAAAAATTAAGCATTTCGAACTTCGATTTTAAATATCGATAAAATAAATACCAGATACATGCCAGTCTACTTCCATCATTATTTTTTAAATATATTGAATGTTTACAATACAACTGTAGAAAGAAATATTATAAATTACTATTATGTCTTAATAATATCACATATTATCATAAACAAACATGTCACTATTATTTTCAATTATCAAATACAAGGCAGATAGAGAAGGAACCAGGAGAACAATATTTATTAGAGGTAAAACTCTGCCGTTTTTCAGGTCTCGATTTCGAATGTGCATGCGTTTTCTAAGGAGTACTATAATCCCACATTTACAAATTAGGGACAGCTGTAAACAAAATTAACAGTACTCTGTACAAATAAATTACTCAAGAATGCAACAAATATTGTTAGTTTCTCTTGATGGTTTTAGGGAATCCAAGCATAAACGCAAACAGTGATGGGCAAAAGCCTAGGCTTCGAATAAATCTGAAGTTTGCCGACATGTTTGAACATTTTCCAAAGAAGGAAACGAGACAAACGTATCAGCAAACTTCAGATTTATTCGAAGCCTAGGGTTTTGCCCATCACTGGACGCAAGCGTAAGGTACAGAAACCACGTCAGTAGTTAGGTGAGAAATTTTCAGGCGACGCTAGTGTTTTTAGTTCCCTCCAATGTTCTCTTATGGGACCCAGAAAGTTGAAAGACAAACTGGCGTCACCAACGGAAAGTAGATGAACTACTAGATAGTTTTTCCCGTTTTTCCGGCACAATAATGAAAAAAACATAATAATTATGCATTTCGTAATCAGGGGAAGTAAATCTATCGTTTCGTCAAGCGTTTTTTGAAAAAAATTGAAAAAAAAAATTTCTTGTCTTTGAACGTATTTTTAGCAAGTTTCAAAAGCGAAATTGCAAAATGCGTAACTGTCCCCCGCAACGGTATTTTATAAGGAACAGTTTAAAAAAAAATCAGCCGGAAAGGTTGCTTCCTCGCCTCATAAAATTACAATAACTGTTTGGAAAGTTGCAAACGTTTGACATTCTGTCTTTGTCTCTCCTCCGATTGATGTATCTCCCTCTCTGTCACAGCATCATTAGAGAGACAAAGATCTATCTATCCTTGTCCTAGAGCTTCCTACTTTCTCCGCAACTGTCGTTGAAGTCAACTCGGAGTTTTGCTGGGTCTCCTGCGCACCCTTAACCTCTCAGGGGAAGCGGGTTCAGGAATTTCCTGACCTCGTAAAAGATAGGGAACGCTGCCTTAGCTAACAGCATGTGACTGTTGACTGATGACTTGGAAATACAAGTTTGGTTGCCGCATAGCAGGGGTAAGTCTGCGCCTACGAGATGACAACCAAACAGACTTACCGGCTAGCTTCAGTTATCGCATACCGGGGGCCTCCCTGCGCCCACGAGATAGCAACTGGAACGATATACAGGCTAGCGCAAGTTGCCGCACAACAGGGGCAATACTACGCCTACAAGAAGGCAACCGAACCGACAAACAGGGTAGTCCAGGTTGCCCCATAGAGGGGACACCTCTACGCCAACGAGGTGACAACCGAACCGTCAAAAGTATAGATCGTTATCGCATAACAGAAGCACCTCTCGTAAATCTTTTCGTTCAGGACGCGTAAGATACCAGTGACTGACACTAACATTTCGTTCACTTTTCGACAACTCCTGATACCTCCTACCACTTCCTAGCACCTTCTAAATCTCCTAAAACCTCTTGACGCCAAATTTAATAGTCAACTTGAATAACGGGGAAACAAAGAAGGTAAATTGGAGAGTAGGAGTCCCTCAAGGGTCCATCCTGAGCCCGACGTTGTTTAACATTTATACCTCAGGAATAAATCAAAATATTAACAATCAAAGAATACTAAGCTTACAATACGCGGACGACGTAGCCATCATAACCAGAGATAGTAACAAAGATTTTGCAGTTGGACGAATTAAACATGGAATTCAAGTTTTTAATAACTTTCTAAAAAATCGGGGTTTAGAAATATCAAGTACCAAAACGCAAATCATGATAGCAGGAGGAGAAACAGATGAAGGAACACTTTCAGTGATGATGGTCGGAGCGTGGAATTCCCAATTTTAAAAGAAGCAAAATTCTTAGGGGTAACAATCGATAATCAATTAGAATTTTCGGCACACGCAGATTACATTTTGGACAAGGTTAAGAAAAGATTAAATATTATCAAGTTTATGTGTCACTCGAACAAGGGCCTTAAGCAGCATTGGGCTCTAATGTTGGTCAGGGTCTTGATTTTCTCCGTAAATGAATATATATGTATATCATTAAACAAGAAGAGCAAATCACAAGAAAAAATTAAAAAGTTAGAATCACAAGCAATAAGACTAGCTATGGGATACAGGAATTCTACGCCGCTGAATATCTTGTATTTAGACAGTGGGACAATAGGTTTAAAAAACAGAGCGTTAATGTTGGGAACTAAATACTGGTTAAAGCAACTGGAAAAGGGAACAAACAACAACCCGACTCTCGAATTTCAATTTACATTAAGAGAAAAGTTTCCCAACGAAGCTTTTATTAACGAGAGATGGACCAGACACGATGAAAAAATATACACTTCAGAGGTAGCGTTTTTCGAAGCATTAAAACAACAAAAAAAGATCAAAAATAATAATCACTTAGAGAACCACAACTTGATATGGGGTTTACATAACTACGAAAGCTCAGTTAGCATCAGGAAAAAGTTTGTAGCGGACACAGACCTTGGAAGGGACATTGACGGGTCGACAATTCCACCGGCTCAAACGGTAAATGCATTTTTAGAAAGATACAACCTGAATTTAAATCTTACGGCTGTCTACTTTACTGGTGGTTCCAAAATGGCAGAAAAACCAGCCAACGGAGCAGCAGTAATAGAACTAGAGGATAGAAAATTCAAAAGAAAATTAATTTCAATTTTCCCTGAATCGACGATATTCACAGCAGAAATCATAGCGATAGTAAAAGCTCTGAACGAATCCAAAGATAACGATAAACCAAATACTCTAATTTTAACAGACTCTCTTTCGGCGGTAAGAGCAATGTTTTTAATAGCTACATGGACTACATTAAAGAAATCAACCCCTGGATTACTGACTTTGTCAAAGAGGTCTCGACTATGAATGATAAGAATGTAATAATATTGGGATGGGTACCAGGTCATAAAAGTGACCGGAAACGAAATAGCGGATAGGGTTGCAAAAGAAGCAACAGAATTAGTTCCTGACCCTGATCTTAAAATCCCGGCAGGGGAAATTTTCAATAAGATTAAAAATGATCATACATGGGACAAATTCGTAATACATTGTGAAGAAACAGGACGTAATAAAGGGAGGAATTTTTTCCAAAAAGTATGGAACAGGTCTACCATCAGGGGCTTCAACCCGTGGTTCAAAAAAGTTAAAGATAGACTCAATAGGAGAGAAATCAGAGTAATTTCGAGAATTAGAGCTAATCACTTTAATTTAAGAGAGTCTCTTGCGAGGAAAAACTATATCGCGAATGGTATGTGTGATTGCGGCATCGACGAAGAGTCTATTAACCATGTACTTTTTGATTGTGTGTTTTATAATGTACAACGAGAAAATGTTAGGAATAGGATACAAAACGAAATAAATACATTCGGAGAGGATGCATATATATTAATATCATCAATGAAAGTGAGAGCCCTAAAAGCTATAACTTCGTTCCTACTAGAAATAGGCAAAGATGTTTGATAAAAGTATATACTTTTATAAACTATATATATTTCTATATAACTATATTTGTATAATTTCATTTTACAAAATTGTAGCTATCTGATATAATGTATGACTAGATGTAAGATAATAGGTTAAAGTTGTTGTTTTTAACTATATATGGAGCCCATTGACAGCTCCATACCAGACTAGAAGACTGAGATACCAAAAGGGTATTAAAATCTAAACTTAGCTGCACCCTAAAATATGGCAAAAAAAGAAAACGTAAAAACAGGGATAAGCTAAGACTTTATGAACTACCATTTATATATATGTAAGTCTGAAATGATAGAGTAACACGGAATAATGCTAATATACTTACCGAGAACAGAAACTCTGTACAGAATAAATGTCAAACGCAACGTGATAATTAGTTGTGATAATGCGTGCTGATATCTAAATAGAGTTTTAAGGATGAGGAGGTTCTTGTAGGACTTAAGAAACCAAGTGTATAAGCATGGAATTTATTTAGTTTTGAAAAGAAAGTTTAATTGATCTATGTATGTAGTACAACTAATTTGCAGTGAGCGTATTAGTAGGTTGTTGTTAGATAAGCGAACAAAACCAATGTATAGGATAAATGACCAATAACCTATAAGATTAAAGATGTACAAAATAGATTTAAGAGTTAAAATGTTATATATTAGAAGTAAGTAGTAGTGCAATAACTAATATTTTTGTAACAGTTAAGCACTTAAAATAAATGACAATGACAATGACGTACCGAAAAATGTGCCCCTTGAACTAGGTAACCTATACTTACAGATCTGTCGGACCGGTTGCCTGCTCGTAGGCGCAAACGTGCCACCTCGTCGCACATTATGTGCTCCTGATACTACAATGGTAAATTTCCCCAAAATTTGATACGTTCCAAATATTCCTCGTGCCACCTCTTCGCATATCATGTTCTCCTGATACCAGGAGTAAAATTTTGCCAGAAATTCATACGTACCATGAACTTCTCGTGCCACCTGTTTGCATATCATGCTCTCCTGATACCAAAGTGTAAAGTCGGTCCAGGATATGTACCGTGGTGTCTATAATTGCAGTTATTGGAGAGCAACTTTTGTCGTCGTGTGTACGAAAGTGTGTAGGGACATTGGATTTTGAATGCACTGTTTTTTGCAGAGGTGGGCAAAACCCTAGGCTTCAAATGAATCTGAAGTTTGCCAATATGTTTGTCTCGTTTCTTCTGTTGAACATTTTCCAAAGAAGGAAACGAGAGAAACACATCGGCAAACTTCAGATTTATTCGAAGTCTTGGGTTTTGTCTATCACTGACCTCAAATTTTCGTCTAGTTGGACAAAGTATAGTGATTTCAAGATGTAATCATTGTTTGATAAGAACCCTTTAAAATGTATGCACTTTCTCGCTACGCAAGAAGCGGCAGAGCAGATTCAGAGACAGCAAACGGATAGTTGTTTTAGTTGCTTGCAGTTGCTTACTGCTTTAATTGGCTTTTCTCGGTGTTCGTTTTCTGTACGTGGTACGAATTTTGGCCATGAATTAGCCGAGATGCATGTGTACGTACATTTATGATTTTTATTCGTGCGATGTTTTGTGTATTTTCTAGAACTTGTTGAACGAATTACTTCTACTTCTATCTTGCATTTGACAACGCTTTGTGTGTTTACAGTTTTACACACTCAATAGAAATTTGTGAGACTAAGATGGTTAATATTTTCGGTAACATACGAGTCTTTGTATATCGTATTATGTCGTACTATTGTATTAATATATAATGTTATTATAGATTTAACGATAATAGCGATAACGTTGTGTACGTATATTATCAAAATACGGTACTGAAATTTATCAATTTAACGATAATATCTCTTTAAACATTGTCTTCTCATTGTTAATGTTCGCTTCTGGTGTGTATGTTATACTGTAATAGAATATTATTTCTACTTCTTGTTTTTTCACACATTATATTTTACTTGTATTATTTTGTTTTTAGGTTATATATTTGAATGTTAAATAATATCCTGTAAAACACATGGCAGACCAAGATACTACAGATTATCATGCACTTTGTGCAAATGATGAAGATGATATTGAAGGCTTAAATGAGAGATTGTTACAGGTATTATCTGCGCAGAAAGTTTCGTCACAAATTGTTGAAAGTAGTATATCTAGACCATTGGGTAACATCAACACTAATAAAGACAACATTAAAATAAAAAATGAAACTTCTGCCTCGTCACCATTGCTTAGTCATTATAAATGTGATCGTTCCTTTTTATACCATGACAGTCCAGTTAATTTACCAGCATCACCAATATATCTTCCACCCATTGGTGTATTTTGGGACATCGAAAATTGTCGTGTTAGTATTAAAATAATTACTTTTTAACTTTCTGTTCGTTAAACTACATAATATTATTTTTCTATGGGAGAATTCGTTATTATAGATATATGTATTACATGAGTATATAAAATTGAATTATAGGTTCCCAAAGGAAGGTCTGCTATGGCTGCGACACAAGTAATTCGAGACAAATTTTTTAGTGGTTACAGAGAAGCAGAATTTATTGTAGTTTGTGACGTTCGTAAAGAGAATAGCCAGATTGTGAAGCAATTAAATAATGCTCAGGTAAATTTATTTAATGTGTTTTTTAATGATTTTATCATACACTTAAAATAATTCATTCATCAATGTTATGCACTTTAGGTTAATTTGATTCACGTTGATACATGGTGTAAAAATGCTGCTGATGAAAAACTCAAACAATGTATTAGGAGGTTTGCAGATATTCATGGAAGTCCAGCAGCTATAATTTTAATATCGAGTGATATTAATTTTGCTGCTGATCTCAGTGATTTACGTTATAGGAAAAGAATCCATGTGATACTTCTACATATGAAGAAAACTTCCGAAGCATTAATACTCTGTGCCAATGAGCATTATGACTTTTCAGAACTAATGGAATCACTGCCGTCCAGGACTGTTGAGGTAAAAGTCTGATTCATATTAAATCGTTTACAGAGATTATATTATTTTCATTTATTTTTATTAAGAAAAAGGCTGAAATTTTCCAAACTGATATTGCTTTATATAATAAAGTACTGTACTATAAATTTCATGTGTCTTTTTATTTTGATATACTTTATTTTTGAAAATTATGTGTATGTATTAACTTGTCTATCATAGCTAACATTCCTTTGCAACACCAGTGTATGTGTATGTTTGAAGTATATTAAAATGATGGTTTTTGTTCGAATTATCCGTGAAATAATGAATATTATTTCTTTAATTTAATGGCATGTCGTAATATCTTTGTTTATTATTACCTTTAGTTGTATGAAAATGTAGATATTTTTAGGTCGTTGTAAAATTCGTATTCCTTCCAGGTTGCCACATTTTATGACTTACTTGTTAGTAATCTTCCTCAAGATCAAGACGTTATGTCCATTAAACGTCGTCTTAAACAATTGTCTGAAAACTGTGGTGGTCGAGTAGTAGAAATCCAATCGAGTACTGCAGTTGTACGTTTTACTTCACAAATCTATGCAGAAAGGTACATACTTTTTTGTTATCCTAGTTTTTTATTAACGTTGTATTATGCATTCATTAAATGTAAATTATTTGTGTTTGGAAACTATTTTTGTGTTACTAAAAATAGAGATAATAATTTAATTATAACATAAGTAATAATAGTACCATTCCTATGCTTAAATAACCCGCCATATGTATCACCAATCATTTGTCCCTACATACAAACATCCTATTGGGTTATTCGGTATTTAAAAAAAATCTGTATCAAACGTAGTAGGGATAGATACATAAATAAGACAGAATTTAAACAGCCAACAGCAATGTAACGTACATAGTGGCACTGTATCGAGATCAAAATTTTGATTTGTGTAACATATTGTTTTTCTATTTATGTATGTGTACTGCAACAATTATTGTTAAAACGTCTTATTTCATATACTGTTATTATTTATCGTTTTATTTATTCATAGTACAATGTTGACTTAATTTAATAATGTTATTTATATCTAAGGTAAGTTTATATATGTGACAATAAAAAAATGGTAATTAAGTCGAATAAATTAGAAACTTTAGTAAAATCTACGAGTTAAACAAGAAGTTTAAATTTCTGTAGAATATCAATCAATTTCTAAATTTGCGTTATAAATATATTCAGTGTGTCTCCAAGGTCATTTATAGACATATTTGATTACCTTATGTATATGCCCCTTGTAATTACAGTTAGTTTGCTTTGGTCAATAACAATGATTTTTTCTGATAGGGCTCAAAAGCGTATGGATGGAGAAATTGTACTAGGTTCAGAAATTACTGTAAAATTTCAAGAAGAGAAGGCTTTTCAGAAATCTCAAGGTAATAAATTAGATGTGTAATAATAATTTATATATTTTTTTTTTTAATTTTATACAGTAATTTTTAATGTAAATCTTAAATTATTAAAGCAATCGAAATAATAGGTGTGTGTGTGTGTGTGTGTGTGTGTGTGTGTGTGTGTGTGTGTGCGCGCGCGCGCGCGCTCGTGTATAATGTCTGTTAACAGTATATTTTTATAATTTCAGGAAATTTTACAAGCAGGAACCGTGCAGTAAGTGAATCGGAAATTGTTACTAATTCTTCGAGACAAATGTATAGTGCAAGTGCTTCGGTAACGAGTGGTAGAGCACTTCAAATTCCGCATTATCAGTCATCGACTCCAGTTATTGGAGCATTCGGTTCCACAACATGGAATGCTCATTGTACTCCCGTATCCGCACCAACAACGTAATTCATTTCATACAAACAGTCATAATATAATTGTAGTCTTTTACAAATGATGAAATTCCGAGAGAGAGCCTTCGAGTCACTAGTAGACGATACCGTCCTTTCTGATTCAGGCTATGAAACTAGAAGCTTTGATCTTATCTGATACAATATTAGAAAGAGTAATGATGTAATTGATATCAATTTCTCGATGCTTAATATTCTCTTATTTCAATTTTGTATAGAATGATTCAACCCCCGCCTATTTTTGTTGGGCGAACGTATTCAAATAGTAATAATGTAACGTTCAATAGAGCGTATAACGAACTTGCAAGGGTCCAATCACCATTGTTTTGGCAAATCCCCGGTTCGCAACAATTTGGTCATATGTGGGAAGAACAATATAAAGTTTGTACTTTTAATATGTCACTTTCAAATGTGATTGTTATTTCTTTATTAATTAATAATCGATCATTTCAAGGTTGAAAAGACAAAAGTTCTTAGTAGAAGACTTCATATCCCGCAGGCTCGGGAAAACGCTGTTGCGAGTAATGTAGCCACGCGAAATTTCAATGGAAATGGTTTGTAATTTGTTTTTCTATTCTTATTTATTCTTACAAAGTTAGAAACAGTAACCCCTTTATTCTTGTCGCATTACAGGACATTCTCAATCGAATTCATTCAAACGTCGTAGTCCATCTCCAATGTGTGATCTACAGCCACGAGAACGAAATCAATGGAATGGACAGGTACAAAATAAATTATACAATACGAATACAAATAGTAATACTTATTCTAATTTTTTACTTTTCCTTTTTTAAGAATCAAAAGTCTGCACGAAGTACCAGGACACCTTCACCTTACGAGAATAGCGTGCAAACAATGAGCCAACAATGTGCAAATACTTCTCCTTATCATCCAAGTGATGCAGAAAATGAAGAAGTTGAGGTACTTGAATTTTTCAAAATTTTTTTTTCTAAATTTCTATTAGGTAAGTGAGTAATAATAAACAATTTTTAATACATTAGAAATTTTTCAATCCAATAAATACTCACAATGGAACTTCGATGAGTAATGAAACATGCACGCCCATTGAACTGCAAGTAACTAACTTAGACCAAAATATTAATCCAAAAAAATTAAGACATATGCTCGCTTCTATATTCATGGAACATGTGATGGTAAGTTATTACTATGTTACATATTATCCATACAAATATATTGCCATGAAATGTTTAACTTATTTATATCGATATTTTAGGTGTTAAATGTGTTTATTTTTACACAGTCCGATGGTAACTTTGCTGCAAGCGTTAAAGTACCGTCTTTGTCGGACGCCCAATACGCTATTTCTCAATTACACCGTCGTAAAGTAGGATATAAACGTATTTTAATATCTTACGCTCGTAGCGGTCGAGCAAGTCCTCAAGTTATACGGGCACAAATTGTAATGTTGTTACAAGAAGTGCCGGGTCACAAACTTCCTCTTTTCAAGTTTCGAGAAATGTATGAGAGTCGTTTTATGATTACTATCAGCGTTTCGGAATTATACAAAATGAAAGATGTATGTATCATAACGGAAGATCCTGGTGGTAGAATGATTTCTCTTAATCCAGACCACAGGAATACGCCATCGCCATGTTTAAATACTACAACTCAGGTATATTAAATATTATGCATGGTGTTTATCTGATAGTAGTAGATATTTGAGAGGAATGTTTCTTCAAAAAATTCGATAAAATATTTATCACTACTATAAATGTTAAACGCATGATGATGGGTATAAAGCCGAGTTCGAGTTTTTCTAGTAAAAGTAGAGCCCCGTTGTTCCTTTTACTGCAGAGAAGCCGTGATGATATTCTCAAAGCGATCAAAATTTTCTGAAATAATAAGCGTGAATGTTAGTATAAATACATGAATTGTACATAAAGTGTAAAGTATATGTTTTTTAATTTGTAGGAGGAGCAAGTTGAGTCGCCATATTGCACTAGTCATACGCTAAAACCTTGGTCTGATAAAGGATGGGCTGAACAAAAAGTAGCTTCACTTCCAAATGTAAAAATTTCTTTAAAACTTCTTGAACCACGTATTCGTCAGTTATTATCTACGCATAATGGAAGTTTACCACTGCCTAGGTATTTTTCTATTAAATTTAAATAATTTTATTATTACGCACTATGTTGCAACGTTATTCGCAATCGATCATTGCAGTTTGCCAAATTGTTACGAAGCTGAATTCAAAGAGAAACTACAAGTAGTGGAAAGTGGGGTACCTTTGGAACACCTAGTATCTTGTTTATCATGTGTAGAGTTAAAACAGGGTATTGGTAGCGTGAAATATCTTATTTGGACAGAAAGTAAAACTTATGATAGTAATTGCGAAGGTAATTTTCTTTTCTCTTTAGCTACTTAATGATAAATGACATGTGTATCTTTATCTTTTGTAGAAAATAAGTGTGTAAGTCCCCCACTTGCCAACCAGTTAGCACTTTTTAGTCGTGAGTTAGTCGATCTCCTAAAAACTGCTCCACACTGCCAATTACTGTTCAATCAATTTATACCTGCATATCACCACCATTTTGGAAGACAGTGTAGGGTTGCTGACTACGGGTTCACTAAATTGATTGATTTACTGGAAGCGCTTACGCATACTGTACAGGTAAGTAAAGTAACTGTTAGAAACATTTAAACTTATTATGTGTATGTACTTTAATTACGTATCGTAGGTTATGGGCGAAGGAAACAATCGCGTCGTAACGTTGTCTCATCGTGCCCAAGTACGTCGTTTCACATCTGATCTAATAAGAGTTTTAAAGTCTAAAGCCAGTAAACAGGTCGCACTTTCAGAATTTCCAAGTGTATATTCTAGAGTAATAGGTATAAATTTTTCTATTTCCTTAAATTGTAATCATAATCATCTATGTAACGGGCGGAAAAAATAAAGGTAAAAATTGTACAGCTAAAGCATGGGATATCGTGGATTATGGTGTGTGTGAAATGGAAGATATCCTTAGCGAAGTGTCGGAAAATACTGTTGTTGTCACTACAATTAATGGTGGTGATAAAATGATAACAATTCCTAAACGGGAACAAACTGCAGAAGAGATTGAACGAACAAAAAAATTTGCTGTAGAGGTATAGTAGAAGTATATGTATTAAATACTACGAAATTAATTTCATATTAATAGAAGAAAGCGTTTTGTACGTAGGTTGTGGAATTGTTAAAACACGCACCTCAGTGTAGAATGCAATTTAATAAATTTGTACCTTCGTATCATCATCATTTTGGTCATCAGTGTCGTGTATCGGATTATGGATTTACCAAATTAATCGAATTATTTGAAGCTATACCTGACGTAGTCAAGATCGAAGATGATAATTCAGGAGAAAGACAAATTTCTCTAGTAGAAAAGCGAGGTCTTCGTGTACTTTCTGAACAACTATCAAAATTAATTATACCACATGGTCATCTTGCTGTTAAAGACATTTTACGAAATTTCTTATGTCAGTTTGGTTATGCTCTAAAACCAGAATTATTTGGCTGTACTTCTGTATTGCAACTTATGGAGAAACTTACAGACACTATACGGGTACGAAGGCTTAATATTCACATTTACACACGCATTAATAGTATGTATATTAATTCATAATTTTATCAATCTTTTAGATTATATATTTACGAAGTGGGGAACCATTTGTAATGATGGATGAACATTACTTGGAACAATTAACCCTACAGTGTCGTCGAGTGTTGATGGATAAACCGCAACATAGAATGCCAGTTAAAGAGTTTCAACAACTCTATGCACAGTATTATGAACCATGTAACATAGACACACTTTTGAAAACTTTACCTTATGTAGTTAAGGTAAGTGAGAATTTAATCTTAATAATCAAATACTTTTGTAAAAAAAAAACTTGTAAAACTATATAGATATGATTTCAGTCTATAACAGTGAGTGGTGAACAATTAATAGAACTTACTCCATTACATTGTTTCGCTTGTGACTTATATCGCGTAATGATGACCTGTGGTGGAACACTAAACCTCTCACAGTTTGAGGCAGCTTACTTCCAAACTACAGGTTTTATTTGTAAACCTGAGAAATACGGGTATTCAAGCATTTTTATACTTTTACAAGCTTTACCTTGTACGGTTACAGTAAAAATATTAAATCGAAAAGAGAAGATTATAACGCTTAATGAAAAACTTGCTGGTATGTGAAATGATTTATACGTAACTATCTGCAAGTTCTTGATGCTTAAATGATATTTTCATTCGATTTTGTTTTACGAATAGCCGTTGGTATACCATTACCGCCGACGTACACATCACCATCGTCATATTGTGATACGGACTCTAATAACAAATCGTTTGAAAGTGATTCTTCTTTCTGCGTAAACGTTCCCAATAATTCGTGTGCGTTAAAGGAACATGTGAAGAAATGGACAGAACAAACAATAGGAAGTCAGCATTCTTGGAAGCATCCTGAGGAAAACAGTGTGTGGTCGAAGGAATCTGATAAGCACTGGAAAACGTCGTCTTCGGAAGATCAATTAGGTAATTGGGCATTAGAAGAGAACGGAAGTGAAAGCTTTCTTAAAAGCTTAATGCGTACTCCGATCATATCGCATGGCTTTCCACCGCCCCCGCCTAAACCAGATTCTCCACCTGAGGTATTTTTTAACATTACTTTGTGTGTGGTTTTTTTTTTGTTATCGTACAACTTACAAACACAACTGTCAAATTATAGAATTTGACTAAGAATCAGTGGGAATCCTCAGTGTGGATGATTCCAGCGAAGTTCACCTATCCACAAGATGAACATGCTACTAATGTGCAGGTAAAAATAATTCATGAATAAATGTAACTGTTTGTATAACGCGTTTTACGGCTGACATAGTTCATAGTTTCGTTGTATTTCTTTTATTGACAGGTTCCTCCACTAACTTTACCTCCTTCCTGGAGTCAAATTGTATCCGATAATAGTGCGTCTAACTTATTATCACCGACAAAAAATTTATTACCAGCTGCTGCAAACCCTTTAAATCCACGTACATCACCTTACTATTCCTCCAAACGCAATTTGGTCGTTGCTCCTCATCCTTCCGAATTGCCACTTCCGTCGCTGTCTTTAACTCCCAAAAAAAACGTATCTTCGGAAAATATTGTAACTACACAAATCTTCATGGACAAACAAGAAAATACTGTCAATCATTCAACGGATGATGTAACTCTCACAAGTACTGAAAACGATAGCAGTAATACGGAGGACGGCGACAACGATAACGAAAAATACAATACTCCTACAAAGCAGTGTAAATAAATTGCAGTTCTTCTAATAATTCATTACCATTTTATTTGTAATTGTATATCACGAACGTCACAATATAAACATTTATTCTTTGCAGTATTCACAAGTAAACGTCGCTTAGCTGCTCAATTTAATCAACCGATTGAATCATAAAGAACGGCATAAAGTTCGAAAATTTACAATCGTATCACATACGCTAAAAGCGAAGAAGCCAGAATCGAAACATTTTCTAATCTTGAAATGTGTCATTGGGATTGGATAAATAAGGGATTTGTAACATCTCGGTAGGCTGTCACACAGCTGGCTCAATACCTATTCACCGTTCCCTAAATGGTAGGTACAACTCCCTAATTTATATTTGAAATATGGTAGTAATATATCGATTTGATACACACGACAAAGAACAGAATTTATTTTCAAGAATTATGAAAATATACATATGTATAAATATCTATATACTAAGTAGCTAGGATTTTTTATTTGAAAATGTGAATAAGTGTGCGGCGTTTATACCGAGTGATATGTATCTATTGTATTGCATATAAAATTCATGTAGCATTTTTAATACTGTGATATAGAATAGAAAGAGAGTACAAATGAAAGCAATGGACGAAAAAAGCTGAGTAAAGGCAGTGATTGTCTACATTTCGTAGGTTTGGGCCAGTTTCCTATATTGAATCATATTATTTTTGTTATAAGAAAATCTTTGAATCAAGTTCCTTTTATTATTAATAAAATAGCAAAATATTTGTTGCAATTTTAACTTTATTTAACGAATGATTTGCCGTAAATGAAATTTTATTAGCCCATTCCTATCGATTTATAGTGAATTATTGTCACAGAGAACGAATTGTATTCTGGGAATCAAGGTGTAGTGATTAAATTGTTGTAACCAACTATAATGTCGTTATCAACTATGATATCGAATACAATTCATTTTTATCGGTTATTCATCTACCATGTATTTTCATTTGTACAATTATTTTTTCCATTTGTGTCAGTTACTACCCTTCATTATTGTCTGTTCGTTTTTATAGCATATGTGATTTTTTTAATTGTATTATGAGTGAATGTGGTTTGAATACTTTTATGATAATTCAAAGATATTATACGATATTTTGAAGTGTCATACTATTTCATTGTGTGTAAGAAAATGTTTTTAATGGAAGGAATATTTATCACCATTATTGTAATAGTCATTACCACATAGCTGAAAATCGCAAGAATGTAAAATGCATATTGTACTTGGAATCAGACTTTATGAATTCCATTGAAACTAATTCATTGAAAAGACTGTTAAATGGTGACAGGTAATAGAAATTTTATCGAAAATAAGGCAAAAGAAAAAAAATATATAATTGTATCAATCAGATTTCAGCATTTAATGATGGCTACTTTTAACAACGGTACTATTTCACTAGAATATTTTCTGTTTTCATTAACAAACGAGAACAGTTTAAAAAAATATATATTGATGACATTCGTTATCTACAAAAGTACATTATTAGTAGATTTAATAAATACTGTAAGAAAATGGTAGGAAAGATTGCTCCCTTTGAATTGTGTAAATGATCTTGTTGATCTCATATTTTACTGTAATTATTAAGGAATATTTTTATCGAAAATGAAGTGTGTATAGAATTTCGCACACGTGAGGAAGCCCGAATCACATTTTGTAACAATTATGAGTTGCTAGATTTAAAAAGCATTATTAATTGCCACTATGTAATCATATTCTATGTTCGGTACATTGCTAAAAGAATGAAAGAATGGCAATAAATCTTATCAATGAATCTAATGTGCTGGAACATTCACGATCGTTACTCGACAATCATGTATTAATATTTTTATGAGGCTTCCTAAATAGTATCCTGCGATCATTAAACAACTGTTAATTTATTTGGAACATACGAGATAATTTTGTTACATGTTATATATTTATTATGTAAGGATGGATTCTATTATATTTTTTATTTACATGGAAGTGATCATTTTTACTTTGTTTTTTAAATTGTATGAAGTTGACAATTTGAATTTTCTATTAGTCATAATACGTTTTTTTTTTTATTATTAAAAAAATAATCACACGAAGTCAAAATTTGTAACATTATGCACTTATATGGATAATTCCATACATATTTATTATTTCGGATACAATTTGTAGTGAATTTTACACAACTAGTTTGAGATAACATTCCGACTAATAGAAAATTGAATTGTACATTATGCAAGAAATGTCAAAATACATAAAGCTTTGTAATTAATAATTGTATCAGACAGTTTTATTGTAATAACGAATGTAAACAAAAATGTATAGTATACATGATCGATGGAATCTTCTAAACAAGTATTTAATAAAATAATTTGTTATACGTATACAATACATATAGATGTCTTCATATATTGTTGCAAAAAGACATTAATAAAAAAGATATAGAATTTCTAGATCATAGACTAGGCATAGAAATTAAAAACCTTTAGTTTTAAGAAAAAGGAAGGCACAATTTCAAATTTTATATTTTTATATTTTATATTTATTTTGTCCCTTATATGAACTTTCTATACAATGATGTAAACACAACTTTTATCTCAAAATGAGATATATGTTACATCGATAACCTACATAATTTAATATTATACTGTAGCAAACTTTTCGTTCATACCACTACCAACTGGGCCATGTCGTCGTTCCCAGATCATACGATGCTTTTGTTTCATAAATGCGTTAACTACATTGCACTTAATACCAAGATCACCATCTATGTTTCAATATAAAATAATAATGTTATATTTTATGCAGAGTGCTTATTCGAATATATTTCTATTCAATTTTGGATAAATTAATTATACATTTATACTAAATTTTATAAATGTTCATATAAATATTGCAGACTCTTACATTTTATAAAATATGCTTCAGAAGCATCCTCATAAGTTTTATATAAATCCAAACAAAGTTGCTTGTCTTCGTAGTTTTCCCATGCACAATCTTCGTAACGTTGTCTCAGAATAGCTACAATCTCCTCATCAACCATCCTATTGACAATTAATTTTATTATAATACAACATAAGCAAAATCTTACGAAAAAGACCGATTCCAAAAGTCTTTGATATAATAATAGAAAATTAATAATTTATAACAACGTTTTGCTTAAGTACACCTAAAAAACAAATTTACTTATCGCGTTTGAATTGATAATCTGCTTCTAGTCGACAAACGACGTCCTCGATATCACACGTTTCGATTGTTGGAACACGACGAAATTGTTGATGGTACCATGGATACTTTTTCTGATTCGGTACAACGATCTTTTCTATTAAATATAATAAGCATTTTCATTGATCTTCAAAATCTATTTGTGCCTTTTAAATCTATTGGAATAACAACATAACCAAATGGTTGATTAGATAATACCTCGGAAAAAGACGACCGGTCCATCTATTAACGCGAATAAACTTTCCATAAATCGAATGAATTTATTTGGCTCATCTTCCATTTTTTTATACAATTTAGTTCACAAGAAACAAATATAAAGTAATACAATTCACTAAAAAGAATCGATTCCAGATTCTAGAGTCCGTGGTTCAAAGAATCAAGCAGAACCAAGGACCATGAAAGTAGCTCGTGAAATGTTACCGATGTTATATATATATACTATATAATTATGATTTTTTATCATCTGTAAATATACACTCTACTAATTTATTTAAAATTCTCTCACGCATTTGGATTTTATTTCTTTTTTGTTTTAACAAAGTATAACATTTCTCAATTTTATCGTACGGTAAAATTTAATATTTGAATTCATTATTTCGCATAAAGGATATATTAGTAAACAAAAATGATACGGAGGATTAGCATAATATTTCAATCATAATTATGATTAAACATATCGAATGAATTTACAAAACATGTCTAGATCTTAAATCTAGATACTTTTTCCAGGGAATGTTTGTAGACCTTGGTTCTCTCGGGGGTATAAAAGGAAATTTCAGGGAGGAAGTCCTCCATTTTCATCGTTGCGAGGATAATGGTGAGTACGTTTGTCGAATAGTTGTAACGGCGAAATTTTCACACGTCTCGATAAATTTTTGCTGGAAATTGTCGATTTTCTCTTAAGTATTTTCATCAAATTTGTTTACAAAGTAGTCATCGTTGTTATAGAGTTCATTATTAATCCATAACGAATGAATTAAGTCTTGTGCAATCGTTAAAAATAAATTCACGTATGGTGGCCATGTGGTCGAACCTTATCCGTTTGCTTCGTATGATGATTCTAGATGTGTACAGTTTATGGTTTTCAACTGAATTAACCATGAGGATAATTCTAGGGCGGTCTGATTTGTAAATTATTCGAAAATTCTTTTCGTTTGCTTCTATCGTGTATCTAACATAAAATTTACTGTACAGTCGCACAGGAAGTTCAGTGCACCCCGTCATGGGTCTATGGGATTCTATCCCAAGAAAAGATCCCAGCGTCATCGCGGAAAAGTTAAGGCCTTCCCTAAGGATGATCCAAGCAAGCCTGTTCATTTAACAGCTTTTGTTGCTTATAAGGCCGGTATGACTCATGTGGTCAGGGAAGCCGATCGTCCAGGATCGAGTGAGTAGACACAAAAGCATTTTTTCTGTTAGATATTCTAATTAATAGACTGCGGGTCATTATGCAAAATAAAATATTTGCAAACGTACCTACAAAAATTGAGCGCAAATAGGATTTTGTTTTATTCTACAAATATTTTAGTTTGAATTTTACTTTCAATATCTTTTTATATTATTGCATACTGTGTGCATTTTGTAATTTCTTGCACATTCAAGTTTTCTATAAATGACAAAAATCTGCAATCTACTGATTATTTATCTTCTTTTAAGACAAGAAACTTGTAAGATGATTGATTCCATGCACTGTTTAGGAAACATGCTTTGTAATAATCGATCGACACGTTGGCCTCTGTCTGATAGACGCAGAAATGCGTTGGTCAACATTGGTCGCGGTTTAAGAGCTGCTTGATATTGTGCAGTATGGTCTCTACCGCAGTGTCGAAGAATAACTATGTGCTCTGTTCACGCAGAAAGCATGTAGGCTAGGCATATTCCATAATCTCCTTGTAACCCATTGGGTGATGACATTGAGACAAACCATGTCTAGCACAGTTTTTAACATTCAATGCGTATTATTCCAACATGTTTTATGAAACACATTATAATTTGGTTTGTTATATACTTGTAGAGGTGAACAAGAAAGAAATAGTAGAAGCAGTTACTATTCTCGAGACACCACCTATGATCGTGGTCGGCATAGTTGGATACATAGAAACTCCTCACGGACTACGAGCTCTTACAACAGTTTGGGCGGAACATCTTTCGGAAGACTGTCGCAGGAGGTTCTATAAGAATTGGTGAGAAACAATTTTTGTTTTAACAGTTTGGTACCTTTGATATTTGTTGCGTAAGAGTATATTATACAACGTATATTAAAATGAATCTCAAATCAGCTCTCCGCTCGTTTTGATGAGAGCAAATATTCAGATTTAACCACAAAGTGAAATATTCTTTGGAAGGTTATTCTGAAAATTGTGTATAGCCTCCGCTCGTTACGAAGAGACTGACACGTTACAGATGGGTGCTGATAATGGTAGATATGCACAGAGAAACAGCCATTATGGTTACTTTTCTACAGGTACAAGAGCAAGAAGAAGGCATTTACAAAGGCTTCCAAAAAATGGCAAGATGATCTTGGTCGTAAATCTATTGAAGCAGATTTGAAAAAGATAGTCAAATACTGCAAAGTTTTACGAATCATTGCTCATACTCAGGTGATTTTTCGGAAATATACTTGTTTAAGTGAATTAATTTAACAAAAAAATTTACTTTCTAATCAGATGTCTTTAAATAGATGAAACTGTTGAAACAACGTCAGAAGAAAGCTCATATTATGGAGATCCAATTAAATGGTGGAACGATTGAACAGAAAGTTCAGTGGGCACGCGAACATCTTGAGAAACCTGTACCTGTTAGCAATGTCTTCGCTCCTGATGAAATGATTGACGTGATTGGTGTTACAAAAGGAAAGGGATATAAAGGTATGTTCTACTTTTTTTTTTTTTTTTTAAATATAGCTTTTCAAAACTATAAATTGAGACACTCTGACTATATGATGAAAAAGCATGATTCGTGTTTACCTGATTATTTTGACGATATTCTCATGCTGCCTTCCTGCTGAAGTCTTCAATCGTTCAAAATACGCGTATGCTGAATTTAAGTAAATACGGTTCTAACGAATGCGTACCTCTTTGTAGGAGTTACATCGCGATGGCATACAAAGAAACTACCGCGTAAAACACACAAAGGTTTGAGAAAAGTCGCTTGTATTGGAGCCTGGCATCCAAGCCGTGTGTCGTTCACCGTTGCGCGTGCGGGTCAAAAGGGATACCATCATCGCACAGAGATGAATAAGAAAATTTACAGAATAGGACAGGGCATTCACACAAAAGACGGCAAGGTATTTATCTATACTATCTTGTAAATTAAAGATCGCCTTCTCCCTATGTTAGTCTTTTTCTCAAACAAGATTAATAATATCATAGGAGGCGTAGAGAAATGACTTGTAGTCATAGTACCCAGGACATACTACTTATGCTCTGGGTCTCCAAAGCAAGCGACATATATGTACTTTATATATAATACATACATATAAATAAGAACTCGTTACGAAGTTTAATAAATATTTCAGATCGTAAAGAATAATGCATCAACGGAGTATGATCGTACCGAGAAGACCATTACTCCCATGGGTGGCTTCCCCCATTATGGTGAAGTAAACAACGACTTCATTATGATCAAAGGTTGTTGTATGGGTCCAAAGAAGCGTGTAATCACGCTGCGCAAGGTAATAGTCATGGCCATTTTTTTTTTTTTTTTTAAATTACATAGTATTAATCTCCTGTGATGAGTAATTAACGAGCCGAATTCATTTATTATGAAAATTCACTGATATATAATGATAGGACTGACAGCCGTAATAAGAATTTTAAACTGTTCTGTACTTCATCGTGCTTATAATATAAGAAAATATATATTTGTAGTCCCTTTTGGTACATACCAAAAAATCTGCTTTGGAGAAGATCAACCTGAAATTCATCGATACCAGCTCCAAATTTGGACACGGTCGCTTCCAGACCGCAGCTGACAAGGTTTCTTTCATGGGACAACTTAAGAAAGATCGTATTCGTGAGGAACAAGCCAAAGCCTCAACTGCGGCGCCATCTACGGCAGCAGCACAGTAAAACTGTTTATGCTATGTTGTATGTGATAAAAAATAAAGTTCGTACGAACGGAAATTTTCGTTTCATATTTTCTTACCTTCATCTTTTATAATTATAGTCGTTTAAGTAAGAATTGTATAAACTCGTCCCTTGTACCTATTGGTCCAGTCTTGCTGAGTCTTGCACATCTCTATTTTTTCCATGTCACATTTGCATTGTTTTACATCATCCTTACATTACCATGCTTTTTAAGTAATTTCTTACATCACATGTCTATTGAATTGAGACTCGTTGGCCCTCCTATAGCTCGGGTATCTCGGGATCGTTAAACCTGTATTGTAGCCACAATCAAACATAGCTACACTCCCTGAGGGCGAATTGTTATGTAATAAATTGTATAATAACGACACGGTAATTTTAAATGTGACTGGACAAAATTGTCTCGAGCGGAAGCCTTCGAAAGAACGTCAAGGTAAATTATACCTAAATTTGATTGGTTTACACTTCCACTGCATGATTTCCATGCATGATTACGTTCCATCCTTAGGTCTATGGTCGAAACGATTAAAACATTCAATGGGAAAACGTAAATATTCTTTTCTACATCTCATTTTTTATGCAGAAATTACGAATTACTTGTACTTTTACCACTTCTCATTGCGTTATTACTTTAAATTCTAAGAAAATCATTTGAAACGGTTACAATAATTACAATTTAACGTACATCAGCGTCGGAACTTATTGCTGAATAAGACTGACGTATAAACAACACAGCCTGTGCTGATTGGTCAAATGAATTTGTCTAGTAAAACAAGAACACATTTTTAAGCGCATTCTATCAGGCAATGCGAAATCTCGGTAGATTGTATATACAATGAAATTGCTACTCAGTTTCTACCACTATTTCGCGGATTCTATGATTGTTGCTGCGCGGTGAGTTGTCTGAGAGTCTGAGTTGGTTTGAGTTATGGTCACTTCAAAAATTTCGATAACATGGCATCGTTAGAAGACGAATCGTTTTACGGCGTGAAATCACATCTTGTAGATGCTATGCAGAAACCAGAATGGGTTCCTTTATCTCTTACTTTAGTCGAATATCCCCAAGGTAAATTTTTTTGTTGAATCTTTCGTTAACTGTTGAATTCAGCTAATTTCCACGTTTTGATTGCGTGTCAATTTTACCGATATACATTGTTTATTTCATTTTGAAAGTATTTTCTTTATAAAATAAATAATAAAATTCAAACTGAATTACTTTTATGTTCTACAGTTTGAATTTTTTTTGTTTTTTAGCCGTGTTTTCTTCTGTTAAGTTATCTCGGTTTATTCGAAGCTTGCACAGGCATGTTTAAGTGTTAAATGTATCCTAATTTAAATTTTATATTTACAGGTGATTTGTTTGGGAAGTTCTTAGCTTTAATAAGTTTAATACCATTTGTTATTATAACTGGGTTTGTAACATTAATTCTCTTTAGAAGAGATCTACACACAGTGAGTATAAATTTTGAAAATAATAAACGCATTTGTAATTCGTATTCAAAGCTAATTTTCATTTTTAGATTGCATTTTTTAGCGGCATTATAATAAACGAGGGTATAAATTTTATACTAAAACATACAATTTGCGAAGCAAGGCCAATGAAACGTGATGTTTCTGTTGAGTATGGTATGCCATCAACGCATGCACAATTCATATGGTTTTTTGCTGCATACATCACACTTTTTATATGCATCAGGTAATTTGTTTCGATGTAAACATACATGACAGAGTTATATTTTACTCTTTTATATTTCTAGGTTACATCATAATAATAATAGCAGCCTATCAGAAAGATTATGGAGGATCATTCTCATAGCTGCTTGTATAATTATTGCAGTTTTAGTAACATACAGTAGGGTCTATTTATTATATCATACTAATTCTCAAGTCCTATTTGGTGCATTCATAGGAATCATATTGGGAGTAGTGTGGTTCATAATAACACTTGTAGTACTTACACCTATCTTTCCTATAATAGTTTTGTGGTAGGTTAATGTTTTAATAATAAAAGTTCTGATATATTGCTTGCAACACATGTACTACACGTGCTATTGTATTTTCAGGCGGATATCAGAGTATCTACTATTACGTGACACAACGTTAATTCCTAATATTCTCTGGTTTGAATATACAACAATTCGCACAGAGGCACGAGCACGGTCACGGAAACTTGTATAGATGAAGTCGCAATAACGACTAGTGTCTAGCTAGTGAGCTGACAACAAATAGGAAATAAATGACTGAATAATAAATGTTAAATAAAAAAAAGTGATATCATTCCTTTGGTTGGACAGAACACAAAAAATTGAAATTTGTTTATCTCAAAGAAATGTTTTGAATAATTAATGGCAGCAAATTTTACCATAATATAACAATTAAACGCGTAAGGTATTAGTACAAATTTTGCATATAAATTTTCACGTTTATACTGCCATAACGTGTAGGTTTGTCCATAAATTGTGTTAAGTATAAGATTATCTTCGCGTGTGTATATATTTACACGTATACATAAAACGTCCTTCTGTTTCGCAAAGACAAACTTTTTATTTGTAATTTTGTAAACTGAACTATTATTAATTACTTTATAAAGTAAATAAAAATTAGTGCAATAACATAATAAAATACGCAATATATACGATACTAACTAACATTAGGTAACGATAATTTATTCAATGTTTTTAAATTAAAGTAAACTGTATCAATACTTTGCCAGTACCAAAAACAGACGTTAAACAAAGGGTATTAATAAAATGAACACATTACTATTAATTTAAAATTATTATATCCTAGTTTTAGTCAGAGTTGTTATTAAATTGTTAAGAGTACATTTTTTATTATTTATTTTGTATGATGCCTATTTAATATTTGTAAGTACTTCCAAATACATGTCACTTATTTTTTTATTTATCTATACAACAGCAAAATATTTTTTCATTATTTTGAAAGTTCCTTTATTTACAACCAGCAATTTTAGTGGTTATTAGAATTCATGTATCTATGTATTTCAAATCAAAGAATTAGAAGTGAAAAGTATGAAATTTGTTACCTGACAAGTCAATCACCATTATGTTGCTCAAGTAAATATGTATTATCGTTGGAACAATTCTACAAAATTTGCCATGCAAAATAAGTAAAAAAGTTCATCTTACAAAGCTATTATGATGTAAGTATGTAATAATGTTTTATAAGTAAACTTGAAATAAATTGGTGTACTATATAAAATATATAAACTATCTTAAAACTTTAAATATAATACCCAAAATTGATCATATATTACATTAAATTTTGTATGGATTAAAAAATTCGTGTATTCAATTTTAATAACTGTTCTACTTTAGTACGCGGTCCAACTATGTAATATCGATTTATACTACTAACCGGATACGCGATTATTTAGCGATACGAGGAATCGAGATTTAAGTTTGACAATATGTCCGAAAATTGGAGAACGCAGAAAAGAATTCAAAATCGAACAGAAATTTGAAGTGGCTAGATTAAATCTTTATTGTCACGCTTGATATAGAAATTGGAAATTAATACGACGTAAGATCGGTGAGTTTGTATGAACCCAGTGATATAAATTTAAAAATGATCAAATAAGCAAATGACACTGCGTTGTGTTATGAAATTGAAATATATTTAATAATATTTCATCTTTAATTGGTATGTTAAATGCATCAACCTTTTCGTTATATCACAGATTAACTAAAATCAGATTTGTTCAAGTATGTTCAAGTATAATATTGACCGTCGAGGTTACCGTACTTTCCACAATTATGCTTTTAGTCGTATAAAATAGGAGTACTTGCAAACTTGGGAAACATTAAGTTAATATTATTAATATATTACAGTTTCTATTGTAGTGTAAAACTGTAATCATGCAATGAGTAAAGAAGTTTACAATAGCTTTAATTATGAATCGAATTTTTCTCTTGTCATTTCACTTGTTTCTTTGTTTTTTTTTTTTACAGTTGAATTACATGGTCTGAAATCTGAAATCTTTAATTATTTCAGGAGTAAATTGTTTAAATCAAAACTGAAACAGTTTTTCTTTTCTCAATGAAACCTGTTCTGACATGTCTTACACTGAATTGGAACATGGTTATCAGGTAAACAATAATCCTACATATTTATTGATTAAAACTTAACTATTGACTTACTTTGTATATTAAATGATCGTTTGTTATTGTTTTCCTTTTATTAGATATACTTTTAGAAAAGAAATTATTTGAAGAATAAAATACGTTGACACGTTTTTGTTTCTGATAATGTACTCATTACTTTTTAATCAGTTTTATTGTTAACATTATACAATTATTGAGGAGAAAGGATAGTCATTATAATGAATGTATAATGCTAAGCGTAGTATTAACTCCATAATGTTAGACAATTTGTTTCTTTATAATATTAGAATTATCTTAATTGGATAATAATCCATTAATAGGGTCTACGGAATGCCACTCGACCAATTTTCTATGTAGGGGATATAAATACAGTACAACCAACCCTTGTGGGTCCTGTTGCTTCTTCTATATATCGTTCATCAAAAAGAGTGAGTTATATTCTATATATTAATGTATAGAGCACTTAGCAAGTTAGCAAGTTTGAATTGATTAAAGTATATATTCTTATCAGTACCTTAGACATTGTATTAATATTAAAATTAAGTTAATGCCATATTTTAAATTAAATTTTCGTTGGAAAACAATTGTATAACATGTTTAAACTTTATATGGTTTAGTTTATTTTTACAGCTACTACGATTAATATAAAAAATAAATGAATAATGTAAGTTCAATGCTTTATTGAAAATAAATAATTTGATGGAAACATGATTCATGTATTATAATTTAAAAGTACTTCTTATACAAGTTTTAATTTCTTTAGATTTACAATCTGTTGTGTAAATTAATACACAATAGTATATAAAGTTTATCATGTTTTTACATTATAAGTATGGTAATGTTTATTACATTTGATATACATTGATAAATGCATACAGCCAAAGGTTAGAAAATTATTTCATTTACACAGAA